TTCAAAGCATATACTAATGTATATAATGTTGTTTAGCAACAGCATCATTATTATATGTAATAATTTATAGAGTGCTTATTATAATTTACTGAGAAGCACCAAGAGTTCTCCTAAGTGCTAATCTTCAACAGTATGCACTGTTGAATAGTGGTTTAAATCTTGAGTTGAAATATCATGACACAAAATGTTGACTTATTATAACTTTTATTAACTACCGTGGTGTAGTGGTAAGACACTCGCCTGGCGTTCCGCGAGCGCTTTGTCATGGGTTCGTATCCTGGCCGGGGAGGATTTACTGGGCGCAAATCCTTAACTGTAGCCTCTGTTTAACGCAACAGTAAAATGTGTACTTGGTTGTAACAACGATTCTTCGCGGCGGGGATCGTATTCCAGGGACCATAGGATTAAGGACTTGCCCGAAACGCTACGCGTACTAGTGGCTCTACAAGAATGTAACAACTCTTGTATATATCTAAAAAAAAAACTTTCGATATTAGTAAAGAGAGCATTCATCTGTCAACAGCTATCATTTTCACTGACGACTTCACTACAATCTTATTTATTAAACCTTAAAAATCATCCAAAATGCTAAAATAAAGAGCCATAGGTGGTAGCTGTGTATACCATAGGTGAACTATAAATCTTTATTTATTTATTTATATACAAGAAGGTACATTGGGTTTGTGAGAATACATAGCATAGTATTTACAATCTTGTAAATCCACTAATACGTGCAGCGTTTCGGGCAGACACAGAGGATCTTAATTAATAATTTTAATTATTAATTATTTAATTTAATTAATTAATCATTATTTATCTTTGCCTCAAGTTAACTAGATTTTCTTGAATTTCTGGGAATATTGCTGACCACAGGCTGCTCAGAAGCAATCAGAGATGGTAAGAAATTTCCTCTTTACGAGCAAATGATTTAGCTAAATTTGGAGAACTCTGTGCTCAGTCCTACAAGGTCTCCATGCCGTCCTCTGTGCTCAGTCCCACAAGGTCTCCATGCCGTCCTCTGTGCTCAGTCCTACAAGGTCTCCATGCCGTCCTCTGTGCTCAGTCCCACAAGGTCTCCATGCCGTCCTCCGTGCTCAGTCCCACAAGGTCTCCATGCCGTCCTCTGTGCTCAGTCCCACAAGGTCTCCATGCCGTCCTCCGTGCTCAGTCCCACAAGGTCTCCATGCCGTCCTCTGTGCTCAGTCCCACAAGGTCTCCATGCCGTCCTCCGTGCTCAGTCCCACAAGGTCTCCATGCCGTCCTCTGTGCTCAGTCCTACAAGGTCTCCATGCCGTCCTCCGTGCTCAGTCCCACAAGGTCTACATGCCGTCCTCCGTGCTCAGTCCCACAAGGTCTCCATGCCGTCCTCTGTGCTCAGTCCCACAAGGTCTCCATGCCGTCCTCTGTGCTCAGTCCCACAAGGTCTCCGTGCCGTCCTCTGAGCTCAGTCCCACAAGGTCTCCATGCCGTCCTCTGTGCTCAGTCCTACAAGGTCTCCATGCCGTCCTCTGTGCTCAGTCCTACAAGGTCTCCATGCCGTCCTCCGTGCTCAGTCCCACAAGGTCTCCATGCCGTCCTCTGTGCTCAGTCCTACAAGGTCTCCATGCCGTTCTCTGTGCTCAGTCCCACAAGGTCTCCATGCCGTCCTCTGTGCTCAGTCCCACAAGGTCTCCATGCCGTCCTCTGTGCTCAGTCCCACAAGGTCTCCATGCCGTCCTCTGTGCTCAGTCCCACAAGGTCTCCATGCCGTCCTCCGTGCTCAGTCCCACAAGGTCTCTATGCCGTCCTCTGTGCTCAGTCCTACAAGGTCTCCATGCCGTTCTCTGTGCTCAGTCCCACAAGGTCTCCATGCCGTCCTCTGTGCTCAGTCCCACAAGGTCTCCATGCCGTCCTCTGTGCTCAGTCCCACAAGGTCTCCATGCCGTCCTCTGTGCTCAGTCCCACAAGGTCTCCATGCCGTCCTCTGTGCTCAGTCCTACAAGGTCTCCATGCTGTCCTCTGTGCTCAGTCCTACAAGGTCTCCATGCCGTCCTCCGTGCTCAGTCCCACAAGGTCTCCATGCCGTCCTCTGTGCTCAGTTCCACAAGGTCTCCATGCCGTCCTCTGTGCTCAGTCCCACAAGGTCTCCATGCCGTCATCTGTGCTCAGTCCCACAAGGTCTCCATGCCGTCCTCTGAGCTCAGTCCCACAAGGTCTCCGTGCTGTCATCTGTATATTCCACAAGGTCTAATTACTGACCATTCCCAGGATGCACGAACTATATAATAAATTGATTGTTTTGGTAATTATTAATTAATAATTTTTTCACATATATTACCCAATGTATTCATTCACGTTATGTTTATATCGAGGTTCCCCCACCCCCCACACTCAGGCCGAATTACTGACCCCGCCCAGGGCGCAACCCCACAAGAAGCTGACTAACTCCTGAGTACCTTTTTACTGCTAGGTGAACAGAGTATTAGGTGACAGGAAGTGTGCCCAACCATTTCTGTCCTGCCAGGGATTCGAACTCTGAATTCTCGATTGTGCGTCGAGAAGGAACCCGACCTTTCTACCGGGATCCTTAAAGCACTGGGTCCCGGTAGTAATTCCTGTATATGTAACTCCGGTATATGGAAGCACAAGGTGCATGTGGTGGTAGAGATTAAATGTGCTGGTAGTATTGGACCCAATACCCATTTTGTGGGTGTTATGGTCCCTATTCCCATCCTCCATTCTGTGAACGGTATTGGTCCCTATACCCATCCTGTGTGCGGTAGTGTAGTGTACCCTACGTTACACGTTTTCTGTAACACATAATTGACGATTCATTTTTTTTAACTTGCATAGAGCATAATCTATTATATATATTTTAATTTGGAGCCAATTGAAATATTTACAGATAATAATTCATAGACTAATGATTATAATTTACTGAGAACTACCAAGGTTTCTTAAAACTAAACTACGAGACTTCAATAGACTAAATTATTCAGTTAGATGGACATTTCTGTCAGGTACAAAACATAAATTGTTGTTCTTTTGAACAACAAGGAAGTTGTTGTGCAATAGATCGTATTTCTTAGTTAACATTTTCTTAATAAAAAAGAGTGTTGGCATTCCCCGCAAAGCCAATCACAGGAAGGTATTTGCTGGAAACTCCGCCTCCTTTTGAACGTTATCTGGAACGTTCAGAATATTGATCTATTTCATGGGTTTCTGTTTCATCTCTTGTATATCAAAACTATGATATTTTTCGATCACGAGTATAATGAAGAGTTGTCCGAAACGATACGCGTATTAGTGGCTTTAAGTATTGTATGTACTAGCTCTATCTATAAATCCAACGTTATATTTGTAACTTATCTTCTATGTATGTACTTTTACCTGAATAAACATTTTTATTTTTTTATTTTAAATTAGAAATATGAGATATAAAAGTTATTACACAAAATGACTAAATTCTACTAAATGGACTTTGTCTGGTATACACTCAAATGTACATCCATTTATTACTATTCATCCAGTATTAATTACAAATGTAATGTATACTGTATAGTTTTTCTCTCCCCATTACTTTGCTGGTGCAATATTTGAAAGCTGTCTATCTATTTATCGATCTATCTATTACTGTTTATTTATATACAGAAGAGTTCTTACATTCTTGTACAGCCACTAGCACGCATAGCGTTTTGGGCAGGTCCTTAATCCTAATTTTCGCCGGAATACGACCCGCCAAATCGTTTAACAACCAGGTACCCATTTTACTGTTGGGTAAACAGAGGCTACTGTTACGAATCTATGAGCTTCAAGGGTTATAACAGCTACAGTTAAGGATTGGCGCCCAGTCAATCCTCCTCAGCCAGGAAACGAACCCAGGCTAAATCGCTCACAAAGCGCGGAGGGAGTTTCTTACCACTGCGCCACGGAGACTGCTTACCTTGCGGGGGTAAGCTATCTATAGATACATCTATAGGAAATACCTTCTAAATAAACTATAGGGAATACATCTACATCTATAGTATGCATCTATAGCATCCATCTATAAACATCTATAGGGAATACCTTCTAAATAAACCCACACTTGAAGAGGTATCCGGCAGTGCCTGGGTCTGTCTTTCTTCCCTCCCACCCCCCCCCCATTCCCCGTCCGTCTCCGTTTCTCTCTCTCGTTCTCTTTCTCTCTCTCACTACGTTGAAATCTAATATTGGTATATATCACTTACAAATAGGCCTTCTAAATCTAAATAGGCTAAATATTTCTAGTCCACCAAAAATTTGATTACATTTGAACAAATGTTGCGTATTTAAATTACCTTTATAGTAGGTAGTAACTAAGTGACTAACCTATCCACCGCTGCCCACTGGATGGGGGGCGGTGTGCAGGACAAACATATTAATTATGACACTAACTCTCCACATACACACACACAGCACTGCTCCTGTGCCAGGTAAGTCCACTACGGGCTCACCATAGCCCGTGCTACTTGCCCCGCTCCTGTGCCAGGTAAGTTACGGGCTCACCATAGCCCGTGCTGCTTGGAACTTGTTCCGAGTAGCTGAATCTATAATAACAACAACATCTCCATATATCACGGGGGAGACATCTTCTGTCACGCAGGGTGCAGTCGCATCTCCACAGATCTCCAGTATCATCTGTTGATACTGGTAATTGCTCAAAAGGGCCATCACTTATGGGCTATTCATGCCCGTGCCACCTTTTAGGTGGCTTAATCTTCATCAATCAAATCTCCACATATGTCAGTTGCTTAATTTCTAAACTGTACTTGTGGTCGATCTCCAACCCATTTATGATTGTGACGACTTATACTGAATTTTGTAACTAGCACATCAAGATTGTAACTTGTTTAACTAAATGAATTGAGGGGTTCAGTCCCTGAGCCCATTATATAATCTTCTTCACTACCGCCCACATGATGGGTATGGGGTGCATAATAAATGAACTAAACTAACGTTATAATCAGCCATAGAAAACGTGAACATTACAACAACAGCAACATAAGCGACCATCCTGCGCCATTGACACAACCCCTAAAAATTATTTGTCAAGAATTCACGTGAAATTCATTAAAAAAAATATTATTGATTTGCCAGTGATGTGTCCTCGCCTAACATAAGTAACAACATCTCGTGCAGTCTTCGAGAGGATTAAATCTTTAGGTGTATTGCACAATGCATTAACAAAGACGGAACCTTCGACTCGGGACCACGATCGTCCGACGCTATAACAACAACAAAGTCCTTGCAGAAAAATAACAACAAATTACGCTTATAGCAAGGAATAAGAAGATCCTCCCACTGCACTTACTATTAAGAAGAGTCTTCCAGCAGGAGTGTTGTGTCTCCAGAAAACGTCACCACGTCACCAGAAAACTCCTACATTCATTGCTTGGAAATAACCTTAATATAAATTGCATTATCCATAAAGATGGACAGACCTCATGAATGTCTCGAATGTGGGAAAAGATTCAATCGTCTTGGGCATTTAAAGAATCACATGGTGGTGCATACGGGTGATAAACCCTATGAATGTCCTGAGTGTGGAAAAGGGTTCAGTCGTCATGCAAATATGTTGATTCATCTACGGGTGCATACGGGTGATAAACCACATGAATGTCCAGAGTGTGGGAAAAGATTACGTCATCTTGGAAGTTTGAAGACTCATATTATGACACATACAGGTGACAGACCTTATGAATGTCCAGAGTGTGGGAAAACATTTATTCATCTTGGAAATATGAAGACCCATCGAATGGTGCACACGGGCGATAAACCTTTTGAATGTCCCGAGTGTGGGAAATTTTTTAGCAAACTTGCAAATATGAAGAGTCATAGGATTTTGCACACTGGTGATAAACCTCATGAGTGTCCTGAGTGTGGGAAAAGATTCAGTCACCTTGGCAGTATGAAAAGTCACAGAATTGTGCATTCATGTGATAAACCTCACTATTGTCCAGAATGTGGGAAAGGGTTCAGTCACCTTGGAAGTTTGAAAAGCCACAAGATAATACATTCTGGTGATAAACCTCATGTGTGTCTTGAGTGTGGGAAAAGATTCACTCATCTTAGATTCATGAAGACTCACAGGCTTGTGCATACTGGTGATCAAGCTCACAAATGTCCGGAGTGTGGTAAAAAATTTAGTTATCGTGGTCAAATGAAAGCTCACATGGTGGTGCATACAGGTGATAAACCTCATGAATGTCCAGAATGTGGAAAAAGATTCACTCAGCTTGGATCTATGAAGACTCACAGAATGGTACATACAGGTTGTAAGCCTTTTGAGTGTGCAGAGTGTGGAAGAGTATTCAGAGAACGTAGTGGTATTATAAGTCACTTGTTAGTGCATTCAGATGATAAGCCTCATGAATGTCCTGAATGTGGTAAAAGATTTCGCCACCGCAACAGTATGAGAAGGCACATATTAGCGCATTCAGGTGATAAGCCTTAATGGTGTCCTGAGAAAAAACTTACAACATACACTTAGTAACCAAATTGGCTTTAAAAGGCACTATATGGTGAGGATGTTTGATGGATCATAACACTGCCATTCAGTTCAGTAGTATTCTTTGAGATACATATGAGGACATGAGCATCCCACTAATAAAATGTACCATTTGGAAAATATGAGCATTATGTTGAAAATAGAGTTCTGTGCCATCATATTGTGAGCTGAAATTTTTTACAAAGGTATTTTTGCTTTTATATTTTCAAATTACTGTAAAATTTAATCATATAAAATAGACATACAGTAATTAACACAGTAACATACTCAACTTGGTTAAATTGATTATCCATACAAATAAACTCATTGGACCTTCCTGGTCACCACCTAAACTCGTAACCTCCACCTAAGTCCCTAATTCTGAATCATCAGTACACCACTTCACACCCAGTTAGTCTCTCATACAGTACTCACATATTGCAGATTCAACTCGCCCAACAAGATCATATCAGGTCCCCACATTTGGTCAGTTTCACTTCGTCGCTGCCATTGATGGATATAGAGGAGAACTTGCTAGAACTGTGGCTACCACAAGACTGCTGTCCAGCAAGTTACAGCCTCCACCACCACACCCAGCATCCCCAAAGGAGGGTATAATCAGATTAAATGTACATCTCCTTGTTTCAAAGAACTTTGGGTCACTCTTTGTGACCTCTTGGCTTTAACATTGGTTTGGGTTCACTAAGGCGGTCTTAATCTCTTTAACCTTACCTCGATGTGTGAACACAGTTTGAATACTAACATGTACTGTACTTTCAACCATCATTTTTTTTTGAGATATATACAAGAGTTGTTACATTCTTGTACAGCCACTAGTACGCGTAGCGTTTCGGAATAATTCGTTTCATTTGTCAATTGTTGTGGCTTGGTGCCTTCGTTGATAATTACTTACTTGTCAATTGTTGTAGTGCTTGATTCACTAGCTAATGTTCACTCCTAACTTGTGGATTACTGTACAACAATTATTATGCCTTGCAATGATCAATTATTTTTACATTAGGAGGTAAAGTTGTGCAGTATGTGGCATTTTAAGTTATATTTTAATCTTATACTGTATTGTCTTTTAAAAGCAATATACTGTATATAAGTATTTATATTTTTACCAGAGTAAAAATAAAGTTTACTTATTAAAATTTATGTACATACTAGTATTTTTGCATATAATTATAATTCATTGTGTTGGGGGACAGGAAGCCAGGTACATACAGTACATGTTAGGCTTATACACAGGCACCCCTCCCCCCCATGGTTGAATTACTGGCCCTGCCCAGGATGCAACCCCACAACAAGCTGATAACTCCTAGGTACCTATTTACTGCTAGGTGGACAGGAGCATGAGGTGAAAGGAAACATGCCCAATCATTTCTTTATCAAACGGGATTCGAACCCAGAATTCTCAATTGTGAGTTAATGTACATGGTAACCTCGGTCTTCAAATTTAATCCGTTTATTCTTGCTGCCTTCATTATTGCAGCATTTTGTTATTTCACCCTTCGTTATTGTAGCTTTTATTATCACAGCTCTTATTTCATGGCTTTTATTACCCTGCTCATTATTACCTCAGTCTTTATTATTGCTGTACTTTTTTTTTAATTCACAAACTTTTTACTATGGCTTCTATTGCAAATTATCACAGCCATATTATTGCTGCCTTCCCCTTCCCTCCCCTACTTTATAGCTGCTGCCCATCCACCCTTTATTATTGCTTCCTTCATCTTTGCAGCCTCTACTTCACCTTCAAGTAGAAGGTGAAGTAGAGGTGCACCTCTACTGGCAACCTTCACCATGCTGCCTTCCTTAATTGCCATCATTAATGCCCCCTTCATTGCAGCCTTCATTATGGCTGCATTTGTCATTGCCATCATCTTCAGTGCAGACTTTTATTTGCTGCTTTTTATATTGCCTTGTCTGTACAGTATTACTGCCTTCCTTCTTAGCCCATTTTACAGTTAGTTCCCTTGTTGGCTCACTTTTCCTTATGATCTTCACTCTTACAGGGGCGATGTTGTGGCGATATCTCCGCCCCGCCCCCACAGCGTAGAAGAGAGTTCGACCTGCTGCTGCTGTCTGTGGTCAGCACCAAAGCAGTGGGAGGACCCAGCTGCCCAAGAGCTGGGCCAGGCCACCCCTCTTTGCATCCCTCACTTCAGAAAGTTCGTCAGATGACTCTGGCTACAAGGTGGAGGCTGCTCCGACTTTCCAGGTCAGAAAGTGGGGGCCAGGCAGGACATCATCCAAGCAGCAGCACTTGTTAGAGATGACCAGGATATGCTCCAGACACTCTGGGCTCGGGTGAAAGCTGCAGGTGGCACCGACACACCCCACACAGTGCTGGTACCTATGCCACCTGTTGTCAGGGAAGTGCCATTTAATGATAATTCCTCCCCTGCACATGACCTCTACTGACAGCATGTCAGGTCGTGTCGAGCCCTTGAGCTAAAGCAGCAGCACCACTCTTCAAGCTCCTTCTCAAGCGAGTACAGTACTGTATAGGCATGTGGGCATGTCACCATCCCTTTTCCTTGCTCATGGCCTGGGCTGCCTCGGGGCCCGGCACCTCACTCTTCTCCTCACTAACATTACACTCCTGCCCACACACGTGGAGAAGTCCAACAGGGTTTGTGATGCTTTATCACGCTAACAGATACTGCCACCCACTCTACTCAGCAATGCCGAACTTGCAGCCGACCATGTTGTGGTGCTCCTGAGGTCTGATATCCTACAACAATAAAAACGATTACAGCCTTCCAGCAGCCCTCAACAAGGCCGAGAATACACTAATTATGCAACAAGGTATATACAGCCGTTGAAGCTCCTCTCAGCACTCCCCTCCCACAACTTGCTGGCCAACTTCCTGCAGTCCCTGCTTAACAATGAGCTGGCCTATTGTACGATTCACTCCTTCTTCGCGGTAGTAGCCTTTATGTTCAAGCTGTATGAACATAAAGGTCACACAACTCCTTAAGGGGGGCAATGGACACCATCCAGGCTGACCCCCTCCTTCTGTTGGCCTATCGTGCAGCAGCACCTACACAAGCTGCTGGATGCACCTGGGACACAGAATGGACCACTCATACATTCTGTTATATCACTTTACATTCATATCCACTGTTGTCAATATAGCTTTAGTAACTAGGCATTGTATGTACTAGCTCTGTCTATAAATCCAATATAATGTTTGTAACTCATCTTGTATGTATGTACATTACTTTTACCTGAATAAACATTTGATTTGATTTGAATTATAGCTTAGTTAACTTCTGTAATTCAATTACTGGTAACTTATAATAATAATAATAATAATAATGTTTACTTAGGGAAATACATGCATACAAAATGAGTTACAAGATGAATGTCAGATTTCTAGACAGAGATAAGTTAATTAAGCTATAAACTACATGTAAAATAATGTTAATATATTTGTCCCACACCAAACTAGTTTCCTTCCAAGCACAAAAAGTGTAGATGAGGGTTAAGGAGGGTGTAGATGGAAAATGTTTTCCCAGTGATGCTTCAAAACTGTGATGATTTTGTTTGGGTCAGTGTTTTTAGTGTTGTGTGAGGTATTTGAATTGTGTGGAATTGGTGCCATGTAATCTTTTGATGTAGTCCCAGAATTCATGAGAAGTGTTTTCTGTGCTGTTTGGCATGAGCTGTGAGACGTTAGCAATGTGTGTTGTGAACTTCGTCTGGGCTATTGAGAATAGGGGTCAGGAAGGTCGTTAGATCCTAAAGTACTTGGCCGTAGTTAGTTTAGTTATTATGCACCCCATACCTATCCTGTGGATGGTAGTGTAAAGTGTTGCAGAGGAACATAATGGGGTCAGGGATTGAGCCTCAAAATTAATTTAGTTAAGCAAGTAAGTCTTGATGAGCTAGTTACAAAATTTAATGCATAGTGTTATATCAACAATTACTGAGTTAGAAACTGACCACAAGTAGTCTCCAAGATAAGCAACTTGCATGTGGTGAGCTAGTTTCATAATTGATATATTTATCCTGCACACCGCCTCCCAACCAGTGGGCAGTGGTGGAAATGTTACAATCACCCATATTTACTCCCTGAACTTAGTAAACTGGCAATATTTGGTGAACATTTTTGGAAGCAAGTTATTTTGAATTAAACATTTACAAATTTCTTGAACACTTGTTATATTACTGTGTCCATATCTCATCAGTAAATTTTTAATAAATCTGTTGTGATAACATACATAGGTGTTTAATTCTGATGGAAGGGGTGAAAAAACAGTGTATTGTGTTTGTAGTTTTAGGGATTTATTTATTTATTTATATACAAGAAGGTACATTGGCTTGATGAAGGTACATAGCATTGACTTTACATTCTTGTAAAGCCACTAACATGCATAACATTTCGAGCAGGTCCTTAAATCTAACAGATAAATGTAAGTAGGTAATTTGTAGCAAAATTGAAAAATGTTAATAGGTAAATTCTAAGAAAATTAGTAGGTACATTACAGTAAAATTTGAGGATTATCAACAGGTACATTTTAGCATAATTTGAGGATTATTTCTAGGTACATTGTAGTAAAATTTGCATTCAACATCATAACCATGATATAGGATGTTGTCAGTGAATATCCTGAAAATAGGATTTAAGCTAAAGGCTGTTATTACAAATGCAAGACCTTGCATGTGGGGCATAGCAACCCACAGCACCACTACCAAATCAATGCCATTACATTACAGAGGATTGATGAAGAAAAGGTCCTTGGAGTCAAAATCCACCACTCACTAAAAGTTGCACAACAGGTAGGAGCAGCAGTCAGAAAAGCTAACCAAACCCTTGGAATAATCAAGGGTACTTTTGACTTTAATGAAAAGAAGGCAGTGATTTAATTGTATAAATCTCTGGTGTGCCCCCATTTGGATCACTATCAAAGCAAGGAGACCTCATCTTCAGAAGGACATAGCTGCTCTGGAGAAAGTGTAACAATAGGCAAATAAAGTCATTCGAGAGCTAAGTCATTTCTTCCCAGGCATGACAGGGCGGATCTCATTGAAACTTAAAATACTGAACAAATTGGAGGATGTTGATCCTGACACTTTCTTCAAAAGGTCAGTTGTAACAAACATGGAGCAACGGTATCAAATCCAACGATCCTCAGTGTTGTTGCTGTTGATTTAGGGCGTTGACGATCGTGAGATCGGATGCGCCCCGGCATACCCGTATAAGGTTGATCGCAAATCCTAATGGCGAAACGAAGACGCGCATCACTAAGATGCTTCGCGTCAAAGAAACGCACAGTCCGGCACATGATTGGAAGAGCCCCAGGAGTCCCTCAGGGTGACAAGCACGGGGCCCTGCTCCACACACTGGGTAACAACACCAAAAACTCGATCCTCCAACTAAAACGTAAACAAGTCATTTGGTGACTTGCGTTTGCAAAAGTGCACCGGCTCTGCACTCCGGCAGAGCAGATGCCATCCGCCCACCACGGCTGAGGGCACACCAGGAGCCCCCCCCCCCACGGCTGAGGGCACACCAGGAGCCCACCCTGGCTGAGGGCACACCAGGAGCTCACCACGACTCAGGGCACACCAGGAGCCCACCACAACTGAGGGCACACCAGGAGCCCACCACAACTGAGGGCACACCAGGAGCCCACCACAACTGAGGGCACACCAGGAGCCCACCACGGCTGAGGGCACACCAGGAGCCCACCCCGGCTGAGAGCACACCAGGAGCCCACCCCGGCTGAGGGCACACCAGGAGCCCACCACGGCTGAGGGCACACCAGGAGCCCAAGACCCACCAACTCCCGGCACCTCACGGCCAAGCCGGCGCAGGACACCGTCACCCCGCTGGGAGAACCAGCCAGAAAATGTTCAAAATCTAACAACAATCAGATTGCTCTCATTCTCACAAGTCTCGCAAATCTATCGCCCTCATTCTCACAAGTGAAGCCTGGCCTCGGGCCGGGCTTGGGAAGTAAAAGAACTCACAAAACCCCATCAAGCAGGTAATCCGGTGACCCAAGACGATAAGTGCGCCAGGCGTCGTATAAACCGAACCGTTGAATATGGGGCCAAACGGTAGTATCAAATCCAAAATCGCGAAAACAACGTGATCCGGTAGCTCCTAGGCGGAGGTGGAGTCCAGACGTCTGCTCATCGTCAAGGTTGAACCAGGAACCTCTCAACCTCGATGAAGGACTGAGAACAGAAGATGCTTTTTCACCGACAAGGTTAGAAACATATAGAACCGCCTACCCACCGATGCTTACTGATGACTTAAATGCCAAAACTCGTAAATTTTAAAACCCAATTGGAAAATCACCAGGGCAAATGGGGGGGGGGGAGACCTTTGACAAGCCACCAGCTTCCTGTCCTCGTCGTTAGTGTTAGTGGCCCTCTGGTAAATATAGGTAAAAACTCCATTGCTCAAACACATCACCGTGGCAGAATCAGTATAAAACATGAGCCTATTACCTTAAAAGTTTACGGGCTCACCATAGCCCGTGCTACATAGACATTTCGTTCTGAGTAGCTAAATCTAAAACAACAACCTTAAAAGTGCTCTTCAACATATGTCAAAGACATATAAGAACATAAGAACAAAGGTAACTGCAGAAGATCTATTGGCCCATACGAGGCAGCTCCTATCTATAACCATCCAATCCCACTCATATACATGTCCAACCCACGCTTGAAACAATCGAGGGACCCCACCTCCACCACGTTACATGGTAATTTGTTCCACAAATCAACAACCCTGTTACCAAACCAGTATTTACCCAAAGTCTTTCCTAAATCTAAACTTATCCAATTTATGTCCATTGTTTCGTGTTCTGTCTTGTGTTGATACTTTAAATATCCTATTAATATCCCCTTTTTAGAGGGAGGAGACCTCGAACTTTCAGGACAAATTGGGGGGACCTTTGACAAGCTATCGGCTTCCTGTCCTAGTCATTAGTATTAGTGGCTTTCAGGTAAGTATCTCGAATGACTTAAAAACAAGCCCACAACTGATCTCTCATTACTATTTAAATCACCCGAACAAACATTCATAGAAAACGTGAATCTTACAGCAAAGAATCGGTAGCGATCAGCTGACGCTGTCAACACAACACAAAGCTTTCAACGCACAGCATTAAGTCCCTTCACGATCGTCGTCGACCCTTAATTCACAACAACATTGTGTCCCTTCATTCAAACTGCATGTACTCAAAACATTTGCGTGCCACTGTGACGTGTTCCTGTACAACACATCTCGCACACTCTCGAGAAAACCTTTATGCAAATTGCACAGATCATTAACCAAGAAGAAGAAACGTTGACACAGGACAGCGTTTCTCCAACGCTATCACAGCAACAACAGCCAAGCTCTCGCAAGAACAAGTTGAATTAACATTGCACGTATTGCAGACTAGAAGGACCAAAGCGTTTCTGCCCGAAACGCTTTGCGTAATAGTGGCTTTAGGCATTGTATGTACTAGCTCTATCTATAAATCTATCAAATCTCTTGTATGTATGTACCTTACCTGAATAAACATTTATTATTATTATTATTATCTTGCTGGACTGTTGTTTCCCCAGGAATCACTCCACTTCACCAGACAACTCTTGCAGTCATTGGTTAAAGATAACCTTGAAGCAAACTGCACAAAGATGGATAAACTTCACGAGTGCCCTGAATGTGAGAAACGATTTAATCGCCTTGGGCATTTGAAGGATCACATGGTGGTGCATACGGGTGATAAGCCTCATGAGTGTCCGGAGTGTGGAAAAGCATTTGGTCGTCGTGTAAACATGATGATTCACCTGAGGGTTCATTCGGGTGATAAACCTCACGAATGCCCAGAGTGTGGGAAGAGGTTCCGTCATGTTTCAAGTATAAAGACACACATCATGACACATACGGGTAATAAACCTCATGAGTGTACTGAGTGTGGGAAAACATTTGTTAATATTGGAAATCTAAAGGCTCATCAGATGGTGCACACAAGTGATAAGCCTCATAATTGTCCTGAATGTGGGAAAAGATTCACTCATCTTAGATATATGAAGACTCACAGGCTTGTGCATTTGGTTGATCAACTTCACAGGTGCCCAGAGTGTGGGAAAGGATTCAGTAACATTGGAAGTATGAAGCGCCACAGGTTGGGGCACATGGATAATAAAACTCATGAATGCCCCGAGTGTGGGAAAAGATTTAGTAGTAGCTATATGAAGACCCACAGGCTTGTGCATACAGGGGATAAAGCTTATGAGTGCCTGGAGTGTGGTAAAAAATTCAATTATAGTGGATCCCTGAAAGCCCACAAGGTGGTGCATACAGGTGATAAACCTCACAAATGTCCAGAGTGTGGAAAAAAATTCACTCGACATGCATCTATGAAGAATCATAGGATGGTGCATACAGGTTATAAACCTTTTGAGTGTGCCGAGTGTGGGAGAGTATTTAGAGAACGTAGTGGTATAATAAGTCACTTGTTAGTGCATTCAGATGATAAACCTCACAAATGCCCTAAATGTGGAGAAAGATTTCGTCATCGTAACAGTATGAGAAGGCACATAATAGCACATTCAGGTGATAAGCCTCAATAGTGTATCAAGATAAAAAAAAAAGACTTAGGTCTAGTAGCCAAATAGGTTTTTAATGACTATATAAATATATATATATATGATGTGTACATTTGTTGAATCATAATAGCATCATTCATTTTGGTAGTATTCTATGAGATACATGTTAAGACAATAACTTCCCACTAATCCAATGTATTATTTGGTAACTGTGAGCTTCATCTTGAAAATACTGTGCTATCACCTTGTCAGATGGACTTTCTACAAAGGTACAGTATTTTTGCTTTCATATTTTGTCTTCATATTTTTTTTAAGTTGGAAGAAAAGTTGTATAGTATGTAGTATTGTCATATTTTGGTCTCTTCTTGTAGAAGTTAGATAAAAAAATATTTGTGTATTTTTCCAGAGTAAAATAAAGTTTAGAGCATGTTTTTACATATACTGTACTATATTGTAATAATGCTTAACATTTTAACCATTTTTATGAAATATATTGTACAGTGTATTATAAAATAGGCTCTGGCAAGGTTTTGCTTGGGTGAAGTCACTGGTTTCTGGACACTTGGGAAAGGTTATCGACACATGAGCTAATAAAGATTTATATTTGGCTAATACTGTAATATGAAAAAATACTTAAAAAAATAACACTAGAATAAACACTGTTTATGCGCTACCCATACAGATATTAACCAAAAATAACATTCGGAATTTAGTCGCACATCTTAGTGTCCGGACACCCAGGCATCAGTTGCCAGACAGCAATACTGATCATCCATTTGTAAGGAATTTTGCAGTATAACCATGAATAATATAGTTTATATTATACCTTCCTTTGTTTCCATAATATTAAGCAATACACCTATATCATACCTAGATTTTGGAGACCAGTATGGTTGTATAACACTGATTTATAGAATATTCAAGAGTTCCTAGATATTATTCAGGCTGCCAATATAAGAGCAGGACAAAAGATGAGTAATATGAAACAAAGGCAAATTCACCAAGGATTTTATCGAGTGACATGTTGCTCGTTGGAAAGCAAAATTCTGAACATTCTCAAAATAAGGGAATTCCATGTTGAGCTGAGCAGTTCTTAGTGGTTCAGTGCATCTTAAACAATAAGGCACAGAAAATGCCTTACTGTCATTACTTACTTACTGACAGTAAGGCTAAAAAAAATATTAGAAAGTTTTCTTTTGCAAACAGAGTGGTAGGTTGGAACAAGTTGACTAAGAAGGTGGTGGAGGCCAAAACCCGTCAGTAGTTTCTAAGCATTATACGACAAAGAGTACGGTACTGGGAAGACAGGACACCACGAGCGTAGCTCTCATCTTGTAACTTCACTTAAGTAATTACAAGTCTCTGGTCCAGTAAGCACCCATGAGTTAATCTTGTGTGATCAATATGTAACCTAGCCAGAGATGTTTCTCACTTCCAGTTTTTATGATAGTTTAAAGACCACTTGGATAGGTCACATTTGATAACAGGGTGAATTGTTGGTATCCATATTTAAAATAAAGGTTAAGTATTAAAATTGTTCTTGTTGGATTTATTCCGGTACTTCACTGCCTTAATTGTGACAAAGCAGTGGTGTGCCAAAAATAAAGTATTCCCAACAAATATTTTTTCTTCTTATACCGTACTGTATATCATGGGCTGTGATTTAGGCACGGTGGTTTTGGCAGTCGAACTGGATCTCTGCAGCCAGTGATATCTTGTGAACGTTCCTGATCTGTAGCGACCTTGTGTTGTCTTGGGTCATGTGTTGCGACCGTTGGCCTCTTTTTTCATCTCGATACCTGCCGTGCTTCCTCCTCCTTGATAAGTGCTCTTTCCTGCTCCATGAGTAGATAGCTTCAGGAAGCCACAAAGGGGTTTACTGCCAGAAGACCAGCATTGAATGATATTAAATGCCTAGTTCTGGACAAGCCTTGGTGGTGCCTTGACACCCTCCCTCTCCAGGGCATTGGGGTGGTTTCTATCATCATGAGAACTGGTGGTGGAGCAGCTGGCTGACCTGGTCTGCCTCCATCCTCCCCCAAAACAACGGGGAGGAAGTGGGGTAAACTAGCTCGCACTAGTTTCACAAATTTTCAATTGCATTGGTGAGGGAGCTCTTTTGGCTGTTTTGAGGCTGCAGTCTCATTTCTAATCAAGCGGTGGTCTGTTTTATATCGCTGACTTTCTCGGTGCCTTCTTTTCTTGATGGAAGACAGAAGTAAATTTACAAATAAACGTTTTCATAGTGCCACTGCTCCCTGCAAGACTCTTAGGGGGGGCCAGGTTCTGGTTTGTGGTGCATGGTAGGCCAATAAGAACTTTGCATCTAATGGCACCTTGTAGTCTGGCACTAAATCACAACCCGTCCTCGACTCAAGTCCATTACATCCAGCAATCGACCCCACAGATGCCCTCATCAATTTTTACATGTTGTTCATTCAAAACTAGAATTTTCTCAAATATAAATTATTATTATAATATATTAGCATATTGTGCATATATAGGCATAGGTAAGGTTAGGTTAGGTGTTTAGGTTCTGTTGGTGATTATTTGTATTAGTAGTACGTGGGTGAAGCATTCACAGCGTTGTGGTTGGAACAAAATTCGTCAGTGAAGCACTTGTTCCAGAAGTGTTCAAACAAAATCTGTCGAGTCGTGTGTAAACTGTCTTTCCATTCATAAACAGGGAGTTTGGCGGGTGCATGGAATCACTTTTGGGTCTTTGGAGGACGGGCTGCTAAATCATTATAATAGCTTCCGGGAACCACCTGGGCTCGCCCAGAAATTGGCGTTTCATTACATTCAACGCTGTTTCTTTGCACAAGTCTATGTGTATACAGTGTATCCTAACTTGCACTTGAGGGGGGTAAACACAACTTTATTTGCTCCAGCCCTGCCATGTAATGTTGAGACATGGCTGTTATACATCAGTCTGCTGCAGCTGTTTCCCAGATTGCAGATGATTTCTGAGTGAACCAAGTATTTAACTTTTATCTTGCACCTGTTGACTGTGTAGGAGCTATTTGCTGGCCAACTCTTGTGTGTGCTTGGACATTCTGGTGTCTGTGTCCGAGGCTGCAGTTTTGGGACCTTTCAGTGGATTTTGTGCCCAAGTTGTGCACTTTACTCCTGAGGGATGCATGGCAATAATCTATGTGGTCTGCTTGACTTGTTGGCATGCAGTGCTATCGCAGATTTAGGATTCTAAATGGTCCTTGGTTTTCAACTTTACCATGCCCTTTTTGTGTCCGTGTCTGGAGGTTAAAGTTTTCCTGAGTGTTTGCAGCGGTAGGGCTGCCTTTCAGTTGCTGAGCTGGGTTTTTATGAGAAAGCTCAATTCTCAATTTAGCATTCAGGGCATTGTGGGTGTAGGACATGCGGCCCATTGTTGCCCTAACCACGGATCTTGTGGGAGGGTCCTTTGACAGTGTGGTGGGGGAACAACTGCACCATTTCTCCCAGGCTTGAACTAGGGATATCTGGGCCCACTGTATGGTCTCAAGGCAGCACTGCCACCTGGTGATGCACACGAGTGACAGACCAGTGGTTTGGCCAGGTAATGATTGTTTACATAGACAGTACTGTAAATGTTTACCATGTCTGTTTTGTTGCATTCTACCTGTATTTGTTTTATTGGGTACTTTGGTGATCCTAGATCCCCGATCTTTGCTGGTCCTGATCTCTGGATGCTCGTGAATCACTGGAGCCTGGTTTAGATGAATGGTTTATCATATACTGATAAGATGTATACTTAGGTGTTTCAGCATTTCCACATCTGCACATTAGGTTTCACTAGCAATCTCCTATTAGTAGTAGTATTCCTTCCTTTAAATATAGCTAATCAAGCAGCACTGGCCTTAAGGCACTGCACCAATGATTTGTGCATTGGTGCAATGCTTAGCTTTGGTACAAGCATTTAAACTACTCATTTAATGGCATAGCCTGAAATGGGTGGTCCTTGTATATATATGCATTGTGAACCATTTATATATCAATTTGTCTAACTTTGTATGCTTAGCAGATTTCAGTATTTTATTTAATAGAGTCCTGGCAGTACATTCGAGTTTGTCGTCACTCACAATAAAAAATTTTGGATTCGAATCCCGGGCGGTACAGAAATGGTTGGGCGCATTTCCAATCACCTAATGCTCCTGATCACCTAGCAGCAAGGAAGTATCCAGGAGTTAGTCAGCTTGTTGTGGGGTTGCATCCTGGGCAGGGGGTTTGTAATTCAACCTCAGGGAGAAAGGGAGAAATCTCGATATAAGCCTTACATGTACAAACATACACTGCCTGCCTGTTCCCCGACACTGAATTATTATTATTATTGCCTAGGGCTGCACTTTGACTTTTACTTTGAAGAAATTTCCTAATACTGTATATTTTTTGTTTCTTTATATCACAGATGATGATGTAAGCCGTGCTAAATTCTTGTCAACCTGGCAAGCGAATAAATACATGCAGCTTTCTCTTACCAGGTCAGTTTTCTTCTCATTGGACAAGAAAGTTTTTCCCTGTTTTGTACCATTAGATCCATGAATTGTGCTCCGAGACATTTTGTAAAGAAAACTAGATTTATGCTTAATGTGATGTTTACCATTAAAATCCTTTGTATAGAAACAAAGCATTTGTAAACAGACTGGAGGGAGAGTATGTGGTGTCAGCTACCTCACACTGCTCGGACTCATCTGCCCTGACCTGCGTTTATTTGTGTGTGTTTACTAAGATTTAACCTTTATTCAAGATTCAACCTGGCCAGGATCTGGAGCAACAGTTGGACGGCGGTAAAGAGGTACTGAAACCCCACTTCGACCTGTCCAGCTGAAAGGCACCACAGCGAGAGCCTCGCGATTGGAGAATGGAGCCTTGTACAAAAGAAGACACCGATTCCATGCTGATGCAAAGAGGTCTACATTGGGATGTTCAATTGCCTCGTAAAGCCACAGGAAGGAGGTGGCATCAACAATTCACGCCATGGCAATGGAAGGAACAGACAGATCGTCCACGAGTACGTTGGACACTCCATAAAAGTGAACAACACAGAGAACCAAGAGATCCGCAAGAACCCAGTATAGGAGCTACTCGATGTGCCCAGATCTAAAGAGCCAAGGACCGAAGTGACTCCCTATGGTTGAGACAATAAACCACAGGAAAACAGTTCAAATGGAGTAAGAGCACAGAGCCTGAGGGAATACAGAAAATCCGTAGTGCACACTACATAGTCGCAGACTCCCGCACCGTACTGTGTGCTTGATGAAAATAGAAGACCAATGACCCTGGCTGGCCTGGTGAGTGCTAGTCACAAAGCATCAACCCAGGGCTGAGGTATCTGTAAAGACATCAAGTTGAGGGTACAAGAAGGCACCAGGGAACCGAACCCAAAAAAATCCAAGGAGGCTAGCAATTCAGCAGTTGGTCAAGTGCCAACTGAGCCCACACCTAGCAATTGTGGCAGCAGTAAAAGGAACTGCTATGGAGATACCAGAATAGCTGCTGAAGCCAAACTCTGCCAAAGGAAAAATTACACAGGAAAAGTTCAGGTTCCCACACAACTGCTCAGGAAACTGTCGAGTCACCCAGGGCCGACTCAACACCAACAGATGGCAGTGCTGTAGCTAGGTCAAGGCTGCTGGAGGCAAGGAAAACGATGCTGACAGACATGCAATGCATTATATTTATTGAGACACAGGAAATGGGACAATACACTACCAAGGAATAATTTCTCACTCACCAGATTAACGACAGTATTCCAGTCACTCAGATATAATGGAGGTCAATAACCTCACACAGTGAGGTGGGCACCTCACGAGCTCGCACAACCTGTGTGTGTAGTCTCGGACTTCTCTCTCCTTGTGGGTGGCAGGGACAATACTCTCATTAAAACGTGTGGGAAAAATTTTCACACACCGAAGTATACACATTTACTCTTGCTCAACTTTACATACTGTCAAACACTTACAAATGAAACATAAAATTTAACACAAATAAAACAAACTAGTATTTTAACTATGAGAAACATTTACATTAATAACAACAAAAGCTAAACTTTATATACCATTCATCACAGCAGGACACATTGGGGATGCTACGACCAGTAGTTTCAAAGCCTTATATGACTAAGATTACCGGGAAGAGGGAACACCACAAGCATAGCTTTCATCGTGTAACTACACTTGAGTAGTTGCACATCTGACCCCCATCTCTTCTATGACCATTCCCATACACAGATAAACATGCTTTTTTATATATAGATATATGTACTGCATATTATATTTATATATGTACAGTATATTTATGGGGTGAGCTCCTTGTGCCTGTCTGTAGACATTACAAATCTAAAAGTTGCTGTCAGCTGCAGAGTTCTCTGGCCTATTATATACCCAGAGTCAGAACCTGGTCTCACAGAGGCACAGGGAGCAGTGGCACTTTGGCTACTTCCTATACCAGTACACTCGAAAACGGCCAGAGCTCCCTGAAAATAGATAAACAAAAAATCTAAAATGTTTTGATCCAGCTTGCGCTCAGTTAACCCACCCTCCCCTTTGTTTGGGGGACAGGGATGAGCAGCTCATGGCTCCCAGGCTGCGAATTGGTCAGCTCTCCTCTGATGTGTCAGATTGCGACAGTCACTCTGGGCTCTGATTTTTCTTGGATTTCTTTTGCCTTGGTAATGGTTCCTTTTACTTCCAGTGTGCGTGGGCCAGGAGTTGCGTGCACTTGGAGCTGCATGTGTTGAGAGTTCCCTACCCTGTGTACTTCCTAGTGCTTCCCTTGCACTGCCAGAGGTTCTCTTCTCTGGAGTGTTTAGGGACGTTCTTTAGAAGATCTACCTCGCATGTGGTAGTTTTCGCCTTGGGGCAAGTCGGGGGCTTTCACCCTCCATATTTCCCTCGGTTTGGAACATCTTTGGCTGGTGGGGCATCACTAGGTATTCGTAGCTGCACCACAGTGCACCGAGGTAGGATTTCCTAGCCAAATGGTCTAGGCTGGGTTAATTTATTAGAGGACCGGTGTTGTGTCCCTGTGACTGGGTTTCCCCGCTTAGCTCAAGCTTTCAGGCCCTGGAAATCCACAGTGGGTTCAGTGGTCCATATGGGTATACTGTACCTGTTGACCCCTTCCTTGCTATTTGTGAGGTTCAGAATGTACATTGTCTGTGCCATGGACGATGTTCATAAGCCCTACCTCTGCCTGCTGAGTCACTGAAACCTTCAACCCAGAGTCGTGCGAGGCGTGTTCCCATCATGTCTCTTCTTCCCAGCCCTCCTGTTGCCAGATGGCTCTTTGTCTTCATTTCTCTGGGTTACAGTGGTCCAGGTTATGTGCCCAATTGGATGCACTGGAGCTGCCCCAGTTGGTTTTTAGGGCCATGGAAGTCGAGTGTTTCTGGCTCCTTGATGGTTGGCTCAATCCTGGTTCTTGGGGTGCGCCTCTGGTTGAAGGTCGGCCAGCAGTACCCTAGTAGGTCGATTGTCTCCTCTGCTCTTTGCATATAGTCCTGCTGGTGTGGGGGTATTCTCTCCCCCCCCTGTGTTGCATAGGCACTTAGAAGGCATTCTGCCTGCAGAGTTTGTTGAGACGTTAATACGTGATTCTTGGTTGTATCATCCCTTTTCATCATCGTTCTTTTTTTGGTCAGCATGTCATGCCAATACTGTTGCCTTGGATTGTGTGGCACTGGCAGAGCCGCTGCAGCTTGCATACAGTCAACACTATCTCGGCTCCATTTTGCAAGTTATTTCGTGTTTTGTTTCCCCTCTGGACTGTTCTTGTGCCACTAGGGTCAGTCTGGTCTCTGGACTGGGTGCTCCCTCTTTCCTGCTCTTCACTTTCTCTCTTTCTCGGTTTTCTTTTCTTGAGACTTTTTTTTTTCTAGGTCTTCTTGATTTCTAGCTACCATGTGGAGGTGCTTCAGGCTTTCCTTCGATGCCAGTGGTTTTGTTCTTTTGGTCCGGGTGGTCACTTTCTTCATTTCCAGCCTGCTCCTTCTTTCTGGCTCAGTGGGGTCATTTGGTTTCCAAAGGGGTCCCTATGGTTCTTGTTGTTTTGTTATTCCAGCCAGAGTTGTATCCTGTTTTGTGCCTAGTAGTGGTTTTACAGCGGTCTATGTTCTTATGCTTTGCTTTTATGGATACCTTGGGGGTTCCTCCAGTCTCTTTGGTTTCCTGTTCCAACGCTCATCTTTCTCAAGTCGTCTGCCTTGTTTTCAGTCCCTCTGACTTGCAGTCTGCCCTTGTGCCTGTGACGTTTGCACATTGGCTGTCCTCTCAGTTGTTCATTGCTTTTATGTCCTGGTTTGGTGTTCGGGTGCAGGGATTTTTGGCAGTCAACCATAGATCTTGGCAGCCAGATTTTTGTGTTCTTGTTCCTGTAGCTCAGCTTCCCTGGGTAGCTCTGGGTTAGCTTTCTACGCCGGCCATCTCGTCTTCGTTCTGTTACCTGCGGTGCTCCCTCCTCCCTGGTCTGTCCTCCTTTTTCTTCTCTGTGGGTAGATAGCTACATGGAGCTTTTCCCAGAAAATAGCGTTGAATGTAATGAAATGCCAATTTCTGGGCGAGCCCCAGTGGCTCCCTGTCACCCTCCCTTTCACAGGAAGTCAGGTGCTTCACATCATTTGTTGAACTGACTGACTTGCAGCGGGTAACCAAATGTGAGCGGGATCAAAACATTTTTGGTTGTTTGTTTATCTACTTTTGGGCGAGTTCTATTGCCGTTCTCAAGTCTGCAGGTATAGAATGTAGCCAAGTGTGGTCTGTTTTGCTTTGCTGACTTTGTGGGGTGCCTTCCCTGGTGGTGGCATATAAAAAAAGTTTAATGCCACTGTTCCCTACGCCTCTGTGAGGAGGCCAGGTTCTGGCTCCGAGTCTCCATCAGGCCAGAAAACTCCACAACTGATGGTAACTTTTTGACATTACACACAATAGAGATGTTACCTTCAGGGAGCCATTGGGGCTCACCCAGAAAATGGCATATCATTTCATTTAATGCTGATTTTATATATTACTTTCTCATAGGAAATGTCTGGGAGAAGCTCAATCCATTGTGATCATCGTGTGACAGTTCTGCGAGCCAAAAGAATTTATATGAACAGCAACTTGACTCACAAAGCAACATTAAACCAACTGAAAATATGACAAGTATGAAAAAAAAAAAACTTGCTCAAAGGCATTATACAAGCAAATTTGTTGCATTCTAATCTACAAAATGTTGGGTTTGTAGTATGAGAAATAAAAAATATTAAAAAGCTAGTATTTCTTTTAAATATTAAATACAATTTCAGGTAAGTTTATAGTCAACTGTTGATAATGAAGATAACCCAGAAATATATTTTGAAAAATAAAAGAACATTGCTTAAAAGTTATTGTTTACACTTGATTGTGAAGTAAATAATGCACTGAAGTTAATCCACAAATATTATGGCTAAGCAACTACATTAGCACCTCGATTAACGAGTTTAATCCGTTCCGGCACCAAACTCGTCATGTGGAAAACTCATCTTGCGAAACAACAACAAAACTGTCGTAAAAGGTATCCGAGAACCAGCGGAAATGCTCGTAAATCGAGGAAAAGCTCGTTAGTAGAGACAAACGTTCTGCGAGTGGCTTACTCGTTACTCGAAATGCTCGTTAATCGAGGTGCCACTGTATTATAAATGGATGTAATGAGAGGCCACACGAGCCTGTAGAGTGCGGGAAAAGACTGAATCATCTTGGACATTTGACAAATTGTCAGATAATGCATATGAGTGATAAACCTCATTGAGTGTCCCTAATGTAGGAAGAGACATAGCATCCATGTTAATCTTACTAGACTGAGTGTTAAAGCATTAAGGTAGCATTCTGGAAGTATAAGAGAAGTTTAACTTCTCATTAAAGTATTGTATTTGTTAATGGCTAGCTTCAGCTTGAAATTACTGTGCAGTAACCTTGTCAGTTGGAGTTTTTACAAAAATATTCTATTCAGATTGTTTGAGAAATGCACCTGACTGATACTTCTTGACTAGTCAAAGGTTTGCTTGATTATTCCAAGTGTTTGGTTACCTTTTTTTTTATTGCTGCCTTTACCTGCTGTGCAACTTACATTGATCGGTTGATTCCGACTCCAAGGTCCTTTTCTTCACCAATCTGCTGTAATGTACAGTAATGCCATTAATTTGATAGTTGTGGCATGGGTTGTTATACCCCATGTGCTTGGTCTTGCATTTGTTGATATTAAAAATCATTTGCCAGTCATCTGACCATTTGTGCAGTTCATGTAGATCTCTCTCTAAGGCTTCAACATCATTATCATTCCCTCTTCACCACAAATCTTTGTGTCATCTGCCAATTTGATGTGATTTGTAATATTCTCATCTATGTAATTGATGTATATGACAAAATGGGGCTGACCCCAAAATGGACCCCTGTGGTACCCCACTTGCCACATTTCTCCAAATCAGATTCATTCCCATTTAGCATGCCTCTTTGTTGTCCTTGTTTTAACCATTGCTTTATCCATTCTAGTCTTTTTTTATTTATTATATGTGCCTGTTTTTATTGTATTCATCTGTTATTTTTCTTGAGCTTTTTTCAATTTTTGTTAGCTTCTCTTTTAGTAGTAAATGTTTACCCCTTCACACCTTGAAATAATTTTATTCCAAATTATTTAAACTTTAACCCAAAACGCTTTGCGTAATAGTGGCTTCGTTAGTTTGTGTAACTCCTGTCCCAACAATTGTACATTAGTTATATGTTCTTTGTGCATGAATTCTTTTGAATAAAGATTTTAATTTTAATTTAAATGTGAATAGCAACATCTAACAGCCTGGTTGACCAGACCACCAACCAGAATGCCTGGTCAGAGTCTGGGCTAATTCCCGACACTAAATGAGGTAGTAATACTTGATACAATATGAGAAGCAAGCTAATTCTGTACATGTAAATTGTTAAGGAAAATTTTGCATATACAGTAGTACACAACACAGTATTTCTAAGAAACAGTAGTTCCTTAGTATTTATGATGAAAAATATATACTACTTTATTTAAGATTCAAGTTTTAGAGATAACTATAACACAAATAGTTTTTCTTGTTTACACAAACAACTCTCAAATTGACTAATTAGAATGAAGAAATGTGAGAATTATGAAGCATGATATTAATTAGGTATTTCTTCCTTTTAAAATGAATAGGAAAACATTTTATTGCATTTGGGAGGTCTTTCCATAATTTAAAAGCCTTTGTCTGCATCGTACACTTTCTGCTTTGATCTAGTGATACATTTGGAATATCAAGTGATGATTTGTTGCTTGTTTCTGATCTTAAATGCTTTTTCGTAAGAAGGCTGCAGTAACAGCTATCTAAGTAGCATTTGAAGTCTAGATTATTATTACACTTTAGAGTTTTATAGATACTAAATACATCTGAGAGTGTATGCAGTGCTTTTAAGTGGAACCTTGGTTTACGAATTTAATTCATTTCGTGATCAGGTTTATACACTGAAAATTTGTAAACCGAAACAAATTTTTCCATAAGAAATAATGTAAGTTGAATTAATCCGTTCCACACACGCCCAAAAATATTAACTTAAAAATACATTTTATACAGAATACCACTCACATCTTTTACTATATAGGTACCTTACCTTCATCAAGGACTCTTGTTGCCGTATGGAAGAGGAAGGGGAAGGAGGAGAGGTGCTAGTGTTTGGAAGGCGAGTCCCCTTCCATTATAACATCAGGCAGTGATGACATTTCTGGAATACTCTTTGCAGGCATACCACTAGGACCTGGGCTTTGGCTCACTGCTTGCTTGTCTTACTAAGAATCTGTCTATTGACTTGTTTTCTCTACGTTTCAACACTTATCTGTAGTGAGACATCACATTGTCATTAAAAAGGTTAATACAATGGCCTGCTACAGCTTTATCTGGGCGAGTCTTTTCAGCAAGCCTATATTCATTACACTTATATTGAGGTCTCCCCTTCCCCCACACAGTCGAATTACTGACCCTTCCCAAGGTGCAATCCCACAACAAGCTGACTAACTCCTGGGCACGTATTTACTGCTAGGTGAACAGGTGAATGAGGTGAAAAGAAATGCATCCAACCATTTCTGTACCAGCCAGGATTCAAACTTAGAATTCCAGATTGTGAGTTGAGAACGAACCCGACTGTACCACCAGGACCATAGTTTGTAGATCCCCAGGCACAAATACAGTAAGATGAGAATAGATCAGTGAATAACATTATATATCTCTCTCTCCTTTGATTACTCTCATCAGATTTTATTGAGCATGATTACAGTATTTAGATAAATCATCACAGACCTTGTAATGACTGGTATGTAAAGTGAATCTTTTATTTTTATTAAACTAATTGTCTTCAGTTAAAAATATATACCAAAGTGGGAGATATTTTGTCAATGTTAATTGCTATGTTTTATTTGCCATTGTCGAGTTGTGTGAGAGAATTTCTTAAGTACGTTTCCAGTGCATAGCCCCCACACGACTTGGGCGTGACATATCCGAGGTGGTGTGGTTGTGCTCTTGAGGAACCCACCCACCTTACAGTTGCGAGGTTGTTTACCTCAGTTTCTCTAAGAGACTGGGAAGGTGCAGTTATGTCCCATTTCCTGTGTTTTCAAAATAAATGTAATGCACATCTTGCCGGTTTGTTTGAATCCCATATTTCATAATAATTGTGTGGTTCACTTGGTGCTCCCTCTCTTATTTGAAGTGTATTTTAATATTTTATACTAAGAGGGTACTCAGCATTATCCCTGACATACTAAAAACAGCAGAGATAGCACCACTCCATAAAGGAGGAAATAAGGCAGAGGCAAAAAATTACAGACCGATAGCACTAACATCGCACATCATAAAAATTTTTGAGAGAGTGCTAAGAAGTAAGATCACAAAATACATGGAATCACAGCATCTCCATAACCCCGGACAACATGGTTTCAGAACAGGGCGCTCTTGCCTGTCGCAGTTGCTGGACCACTATGATATGGCATTAGATGCTATGGAAGACAAACAAAACGCTGATGTAATTTACACAGATTTCGCAAAAGCTTTTGATAAATGTGACCATGGTGTTATTGCACATAAAATGCGTTCAAAAGGAATTACCGGGAAAATAGGCAGATGGATCTACAATTTCCTGACTGACAGAACCCAATGTGTAATAGTCAACAAAATAAAATCCAGCCCATCAACCGTGAAGAGCTCAGTCCCCCAGGGTACTGTGCTTGCTCCAGTACTTTTTCTCATCTTGCTCAGGTCTGCCTCTGACCTGTCCATCTGTCTTATTTATTTATCCATCCCTCTATTTCTCCATCTATCTGTTAGACGTTCTACCCATCCATCAGTGGCATGTTTTGTGCGAGTATGGGCAAATTACTGGAAATTTTCACAAGATAAGTGAATAATGGTGCATATTACTCTAAACAATTTTTAAGTTTTGAAAATATTTAGCTGTGGTGGGCCGTGGCAAAAATTGTCATGGCATTCTGAATGTAGCACCGACATCCTGTTCCCTTTTGAATTCTGCCAAACCCCCCCCTCCCTCCCCACCAACCAGCCTATGTTCATCCTTTACCTCAGACCACTCTCTCTCTCTCTGCCAATAAGGGTGAGGCTGGCCCCCAACTGTGTAGCTTCCAACTTTGAACAAATACACACTCACACACTCTTATAGTATCGATTAGCTCATTTAGATTTTAAAATAATATATGTATACAGTGAGTAAGGAGGGAGGCTTTATGGCTTTATTCTATATTTAGTCAATTATCTCCCCACTCTTATAATCTAAGGTCATCTTTCTAGTGCATTTTACCATCGGGAACAGCAATAAAGCTTCTAAGGATGCTACATACAGTATTATGAAGTCGAGGACAAACTATAATTCCATTGACTTTCATCTATAATATTTACCTGAGGAGCCACTAACACTCTAGTGGCCTTGATGGGGACAGGAAGCTGGTGGCTTGTCAAAGGTCCCATTTGCCCTGATGATTTTTTCCAGCTGTATTTTAGAATTCAAGAGTGTTTGGGCATTTATGGCTTTGGCAGGCAATATGTAGAGTTTCACTTATATTGCTATAACACTCTGGAATAGAACGTAAAACTTTGTAGAAAATTATTAATGAAGCAGTGGCCATGATGTCTGTTTTATAAAAGGAGAGAAATACAATAAGTTTTGGTGTTCATATATATTAAATTCTGTATGACATAATAGGGACCGCAATGTGTGGACATTTTTATCAATCGATAAAGGTAATATATCGAGTCAAACATTTCTCCAAAAATAACTATGGTCAAAATTAATGAACGTATTTAGTAAGTCATGTAAACAATACATACAAGTCCGACAGCATATAAAAATGACAAGACACCGCTAAATATCTGGAAAATAATTGTAATATGTTCATTTTTTAAATAATGTTCAATGATGCAATGTATATAATGATCTTTAACTGTGATCATGTAGTGTAAAAAAAAAAAAAAAAAAATTTACTTGTAGCTGTTAACAATTTTCATAACTACAATTTAGTTATGGTTAATGGACAATCATGAAATACATATTTACTTGTGATCATGTAATGTACTGTATATAATGATTATTTATGGTTAATTTATTGCCAGCTTTTAGTTTTGTAAATACTGAACGTACAAAAGTTTTTGGCAATGTTAAATGTGCATGTAGAACTCATCGAGTTTTACTCACATATTACTGCAAGGTTCTTGTGAATGTTTCTTTTAGACATGAGGTTCCAGCATGGAGTTGGAGACATGTTTCTACACAATTGAATGCCAATGTATTACAATCCTATACAATTAATACTTATTAGAATATATTAAGATATTTAAAAGAAAAGTAGTGACAACTAATACAGTACTATATTTTATAATTCCTTCAAAGTAGTAAAAGGTGTTCAACATATGCAGATACTGTATTTGGAAATATTATGATAATACATGTCTAAATTAATGTCAGAACTAACTGTAAAATATATTATATTACCCAACTGATTATTTGGTTGTTCATATTTCTCTATTACTATATTTTATTTATATAATTATTTAAAATTACCCATGCTTTTGCAACTACTGTACCTGTTTCTGCTCAGTAAGTTACTCCCAGTCAATCATCGTGTTCAAGTTAACTCGTCACTTGGTCAATCCATCATCAAATGATGTGGTTAATGGGTTATTGATTATTGCATTAATTCTATGCAGTGCAAAATTAACAATTATTACACTAAAATAGTACAAATCTTATAGCAAGTGCATCACAGTGCAATGCCCTGAACAGCAGATTTTGTTCTGAAATTGGTTGGCACACAATATATTTGATTAAATCTATGAATCCTTGTGGCATGGACCGTGCCTGTGAGCACCAAGACATTTGGTTGGATGTGAGACTGTGAGGTCTCCGGGGACAGATTGGTTTTGATAAATTTGAGAAGATATCACTCCCATCATCTTTCAAGAGTGTGGCACATCAGCTGCTCCTGTCTCGCCCCACTATCTATGAAGTAAGTTATTATCACCTTGATGTTATTGTGAAACAATAGGGTATCCTTCAATGAACTTGTGAAAATAGTACAGTATAATGACTTTGTGGTGGGAAATTTTTTTTTTCTGGGGAAAACCCCCTTGTCTTATGTTAAATTTCCTTCAGAAGATATGATATCAAGTCTTGTGTTTCCTATCCTCAACACAGCCAATGGAGCAGCCCGTCCTCCTAAGGTTTACCAACGTCAAGAAAATGGCCAATTTAAACTGTCCTCTCCTAACCTACCTGAGAACAGAAAATGGAACAGTACGTTTCTTTTGCGAGCCGCTTTCACTTTCTAGTATGACAATTTTTGGCCTTGTGTAACGCACACGAGTGAAGCGACATTCTTTGTAGAAGGACAGGTTGAATGGAGACAGTGGCTAATGGATCAATATAGGCAATATAAAATGAAAATCAACAGATATATTAATATGATATTCACAGACATTTACATGAATGATCTCTAGGTCAAAGACAATGGAATCCTAAATTTTTCTACAATGGAATTCACCACGTGACATTTCATGTGATCTGTAGAAACGTAACCTTGCAAATATGTGATGGTTACTCTCCATAACATGGCTCAGTATTTGTCATCCTAATACAAGTTGACTTTACACTATTAGCCATCAGTAGCAATGATACAGTAAGCATTCAACATGCTTTGCAATAACACTTTAAGCACAATCAAATAATGGACAAATAAACTCCAATTTATAAGGAAAAAATGGGAATGCATTTTAGAAAATAAAGGTGCCACGCCACTATGACCATATAGGAATAGTACTTTGATGAACTAAATCAAAGGAATGAAATACTATTAAATATACAAACACAAGAGCAGGACATTAGGTCATCTATCTGAAAAGAATGGCATTAATGATTAAGAAAGATGATGACCAAACCACATATCAGAAGATGGAGAAACGAGAACGTTTTGGTCCATCCTGATTAAGTACAGTAATTATCAAAAGGCGACACCAAGCCAGGAAGACTATGCAGCACCATCAGTTTCAGGATAATCAAAAGGTGCCAAATATCACTAAAGGATGCCAATACAAGAACAAAAGCTCACAAGGCGAGCAATATCAAAGATATCGGATTCACCAAGGATTCTATCGAAGGCCAAGTGATGGCGAGGGACAGACAGGAAGGAAGATACTGTACATGCAAGTCCTGAAAATCAGGAGATTCAACAAGGATGTGCATGACTGGAAGAGGGACAATGCAGTTAGGACAATAAGGAGGAGGACAATGCTCCATTAAGTGCTAGTGAGTTAAACCTGAATGGCCAATATGTAACCTCGCCAGAGCCATTTTCCACCGCCAATTATGGTGGTAGGAGGAAGGCCAAGGAGGACAAGCTTCTCTTAAGAGCAAGCAGTGTTGAACCATAAGAAAAAGAGGCAAGAGGACAGGAATCTTTACTGAAATGTTCTACAAGATACTTTAATACTTAGGCATTCTGATGATGCTAAAATGAGTCACCCATACTTCAACAGTCAACATTCTGATTATGCTAAAATGCATCACATAATCTCAGATTTTTTTTTTTTCGAACACATAAGCAGTGTGTGGGTAGAGCTTATCAGGGGACAAGCCAAAGTATCAGAAGACCAACCAGATCACACCTCGGCCAACCTCCCATCAGTCAAGACAATAATTCTTTTGCTCCTGTGTTATTTTTTTGAGTTAATTGCAATTACCTGACAGTGTAGTATAAAAGTTGTGTTACTTTTACAGTTACATAGACTGATCATGAGTGCACATTTCAATTTCTTTATCCATGATGACAAATAAATAAGGAATGTTGAAATATTCATAAACCATTGTATATTCAGTGGTCATGCATAATCTATTATCAATACACCTTTTTTTATATAACATATATAATCTAGAATAAATAATTGTAAATAATTTTACACCAAATTTATAATAATAACCTAAACAATAACACAAAACTGTAAGAGAATAAATATTTTGGGTGTCACTGAGCAGGTATTCATGCCTTCATTCATCCTTTTGCACCTCGCCACCAATCTTACTCTATAATAGTTTATTCCCTTTTCTTCCTCAGTTTCGGCTTGATAAATCAAGTCCATGATGGACTTAAAACAGTCAATTTCACTTGAACACTTTGAACAAAGGAGGAGGAGATTGAACCATGAAAAACAGAGAAAATGATGATGAGGACTTCATACAACACAAAACAGGGTCCACACTACATGATCCCAGCATTGGTGAGTGGAAGGTAATCCTGGGGTCCCAGACCAACCCTGAAATGTTTGGGAATATCCCAAACCCAGGACCAGTCACAACATACACACTACCATACAACTAACTGCATCTCATCACAAATAGGCCTTGTGGTGGCAAGAAAGTCCAACACACTACCTAGAAGCAAGATGACTCAAAAAGGATTGACCCCACAGAGAAGGAACCCAACTCCTCAGAGAACCCAACTTGCCCTCATGGAGCAAGCTGACCACCATGGAACAGAACCTTGGTCTAAAGTTGGATCAAAATAAAAGCTATACACTGTGGATAAGGAAACAGGAAGTAGGTTCTAGCCTTTGAGCCAAACAATACCAAATGAGTGTGGCTGTTCATCTACAGCAAATTATTGCTTGTTATCTTTTCCTCTTCCTTCCTTTTCTTTCAAGTCCTAAGATTTTTGTTTCACCTAACCTTTCTGGTGGTTTCCTCAGTTTTGCGTCGACTGCTGATCCTCAAGATCTCCCCGCTTTGAAGAGAAAGATTCTGGCTCTATGTCTCACTGCAACAGTGTGGGTGTCAGATGCCTATCATGATCCTTTGGCTTAGCAGTAACAATGCATAAGCATCAAGGAGCTACTGAGGAAGCATTTACAGAAAATTTCATTCGCTTGGGCTCCGGGAAACTCAAACTCTTGACCCCATGAGTGTTAGGCAAGAGCTCTACCTCTAGACGGCTACAATAGTAAAAATTTCAGAGGCAGCAAACCACTGCCCATCTGAAATTTTATACTTCACCCAGCCACTGCTTAGGTCCAAGGCATAGTGATCCCTGCCCATGTCATATAAATCGTCTATTTCCACATTTTATGGTGGAAATAGTGTGTTTATTTCCACACTATTTTAGAAATAAACACTTCCATGTAGTGTGGTTGAAATTGTTATTTACATAAATGTTCAATACTTGTATCCTAGCATCATCATTCTCTCTCTCTCTCTCTCTCTCTCTCATTGATTGTTTCTTGAACAGAAGATAATGTCACCATATACCCCTTCAATTTCCTTTTACTCTTTTTATTTTTTTATAAAGAAAATAACTTTGACTTAAATCAGCAAAGTTTATTCTGCTTTTTAAGAGCTATATTGTCATTGTTTATGTTTTACATTAAATACATAATTTATTTTATGTACCAATATTCAATATTGGCCTAGAACCCAAGTCTCCATCAAGTTCTTTATCATTATTTTTTTGAACTCCATGTTTCATGAGGTCTCCATAAACTTGACATTGTTCACAATTTAGATTCTACTGTAAATGTGTTTATTCATACCACTCTTCTTCTCTTCTTTAATTAACATTCTTTAGTTCTCCCAATAATTTGCTATTTAATGTGCTAATAACATTTTGCTTCTTGTTCTAAATCACATTTTGAGTAAAATTCAAATAACATCTCTCTCCTTTTGACGGCTTTTAATTGTTGTATCCAAATGCCAAATATATTTAGTTTTAAAAAATATCATTTGCTTGTAATTTTATCTTATGAAACACAGGTATATTTACCTTTAAACAGATTTAACATTCAAAGTGTATGCAGCCCTGAATATTATGTGTGTTAATAGTAAACATCCTAAAAATATTTAATGACCTAAGTATTAAATTGCTGAACTCTAAGAGATTGTTTTTGTAATTCACTTACACTAGTGCAAATATGGCATATTTAATAACAACTTATAATTTACCTTTGGTTATTTTCTTCAGGAGTTCTCATCTTGTGCTTGATGAAATCTTTCTGAAAGCTCTTAGACTCTGGACACTATGATTGTCTCCTGAATGAATGATTATATGATTCACTAAAGAAGCCTTTTTTGCAAATTCTTTCAGGCACTTTGAACACTGAAATGGTTTTTCTCCTGTATGAACTCTTAAATGTTTAATTAAACTGTTTCTCTGTAAGAAAACTTTCAAACACTCTGAACACTGGTATGATTTCTCTCGTGTATGAGTTCTGCTGTGCAATACTAAGCTGTATTTTCTTGAAAAGCCTTTCAAACACTCAGAACATTGGTATGGTTTCTCTCTTGTATGAATTCTCATATGCTCTATTAGAGTATCTTTTTTGGGAAATGCCTTAGGACATACTGAACACTCATATGGCTTCTCTCCTGTATGAACTCTCATATGTTTTACTAGATTAGTATTTACTGTAAAACCTTTCTCACATATTGGACACTGGTATGGTTTTTCTCCTGTATGGCGTCTCATGTGTATCTGCAAATGACCATTTTGTTTAAATGCTGCCAGACATATTGAGCAATGATATGGCTTCTCTCCAGTATGTACTCTTTTATGTCTTACTAGAGCAATTTTGTTTGAAAAATCTTTCAAGCACACTGGACACTGATATCTTTTATCCCCTGTATGAATTCTTGTATGTTGAACAAGTTCATAATTGAATGAAAACTTTTTACCACAAATTAAACATTGATGAGGTTTTTCACCTGTATGAACTACACTATGTTTAGCTAACTTAGAACTGTGTTTGAAAATTTTCTGACACACTGGACACGGATATAGCTTCTTGACAGGGTGACACCTCATGTGTGCTGCCAGACTTTTGCTGTTCGAAAAGAATTTTGGACATTCTGAACATAAATATGTTCTCTCTTCTATATGGACTCTTAAATTGGCTTCTATGGCAGACATGAAGAATGTCAATATAGTAAACAATTTCCTGCCTTAAATTACTTGTATGCTAAATTATATTTCTTAGGAATATTTTGACGTTGATATTATTCCTCTCATCTACAAACTTTGGCATGTATTACTAAGCATAACTTATAAGAAGACTTGAAATACTGAGCAATGGATGTCACCTATATATAGATATATATATAAATACACAGTTTATATATTCCACTAAAGATGTTTTTTCTGAAAGATCTCTTAACTTTGAATACAAAATAATTATTTTTTCAACACTACACTTCAGTGCCAAAATAATTTTATATTTAAAGTCAACATTCACATGTGTTCTGTACAAAATAAATTAATACATTTCACAGTACATAAAATACATGAACAATACATGGAATTATAACAATTACCATAAATTTTCAAGAGATTTACCATGAAGGGCCTAGGCTCTCTTTTCAATGAAAGTACAAATAGTTTACTAAATTTTTCTAGTAATGAAAACTACAGTAGTTACTGAATGGGATTATATATCCTTAATTGTTTAAGTGATACATTGCTTGCATATTGTTTATTTTATGCAATAAATTCAGTTTTGTCAAAATTCTAATGCCGTCTAAGTCTCGTATTTTTCTTCAAAATCCTATTTTTATCATTCTCATACTGAGAATCATTCAATTATGAATCAATCATGAATAAGCCAATGAAAAATGAAAACAGAAGAATATTCATGAGGATCAGAAATGTTTCATGGAGAAAATAGGTTTACACAGCTGTATAAAAATTAACAACAAAACTATTTGATGTTAGCAAGTACAGAGACAAAGTTAGGATCTCAATGCTATCACAACACTATTAAATGTAACAAACTACATACACAATGTAACATAATGGCCTTTAGGATACAAGTCTTATGTCAATGTGGTGACTGCGTAAACTTGTGCTTCAGTGGGTGATAGTATAATAAATTATAACAAATTGGATGAGTGAAATTAACTTACATGAACTAGATGTAATTTACAGCAGATTAAAATAACGACCAAGATGCAGGATGCCGATACTGCATTTGTGGTATTTCTAATATATGCTTCGCATCATCATTGGAATCTTTTATACCATATGCATCCAGTATTTCTGTCAAATGCTGGAGGTTATGATTGGGTGTTGACATTCAATGTACATTTCTGGTGTTGAGATGAGCTGCAAAAAAGAAAACATCATCAGTAATCTGTTAAGATATTCAATTTCTTTTGCCATAACACATCAAACAAAAGTTTTTTGTGCCATAAGACATCAAACAAAATTAACCTTATACTGTTTCAATTATTTGTAATTACAATCCTTCCAGATATAAAAGTTTCAATATGATTTGAATGGGTGAAGTATATCCAATTAAATTCTATGATGGAAAGAGACAAAGAGCCTCTGCACATCTATACACAGAGTAATCCACATATAAGTTTGAACACATCACATTGCAAAATTCACTACGAGATATGGTAGAAAGGTTCAAGTCACCTACAGACTGAGTTCAGGTAGAACAGATTCTGGTCTACTTGGGAAACATTCTTTGAAATCTACCACCTAATTGGGTAGTGACACTGCAGTAAATTCTAACAAATTGGATGAGTGAAATTAACTTGCATGTAAGTTACATGTAACAAGATATCTATCTATAATAGAATAAGGAGTGTTGTTGTTTTGAATGCTTGGGGACTTTGAGAGAGTGGCCAGTCAGAACAGGATGATCTGGAACAGAGCAAATTGATAGGTAGTGCAAGAGAGGTTTACATGCAATTAACCCTGGATGAGTGTCAAGACTACTAAATGCGAAGAGGAAAATCAGCATTGAATGAAATGAAACGCCTCCAGATGGGTCCAAGGTGGCTCTCTGTTGTTAGCTGCTCTGACTAGCTCCTCTCCTATACAGTCACATCAGACATTTGTGAGTCGGTAAGAGCCTACTGGGGAACAAATCCTCCTCTGGAATCAAGGCCAAAACCTGGTCCCTTCACAGAGGCAAAGAGAGAAGGAATCTGTGATCATCCTCACCAAAATAGCAGCCACCAACCAATACACAATCTGCTCAGTAGCAGATAGGTTACCCTCTAGTTCCAACTGCTCATTACACACACACACAGTCGGCTATTAAGATCTATCGAGTGTCCGTGAACAACACAAGATATCTTGTGACTTTCAAGTGCTAGTAGAGCTTAACATTATGATTTATTTAATAAAGTGTACTGTAACGCATTGAAAAATATACCATAGTGACTGACACTTAGTTTACAATAGACAGGAAAAATAACATAAGCGGAAATACCTGCAGTGCCTTAACATGTATATTATATTCCGAGATCAAACAGTGCTTTCGCTGTTATTACACTACATACACTCAATTACAGTCTATATAACTATCTGCATTTTTGTGCACCATAACAAACCACCGAGATGGTCTGCTGTGAGTTTATACACACAGAACAACGAATTTAAGGTCAGCCTAGCACCTGACAGCTGAGTGTGGTAGGGGCTGCCCCAAATATATTTTTACATTATTATTTCAAGATCTTTTAATCATTTTATATTCAGTCTTTTGCTGTAATATTATTCAATAGTGTAATTTTGAGGAATTTGTATAGTTAAATGTGTGTGTGGAACATCGCTATGCAAAAAAATATGGTGCTTCTATCTTATGACATTTTATACTTTAAGATCAGTGTTTTTGTTCTTATTACAGTACACACACACATTATATACATTTATCTATGTTTTATAAACTGTAAAGCACCACAAAGTAATTCTGATGTGTGGTAATGAAATCTTAGCATAGTACATATAGAGGTACACATTATAACCAGGTGACTCAAGCAGCTGAGGTTACCTGGCACACCAAATTACCCAGAAATATACAAAGTACGTCTTTATTATTACTTCTAACACTGCCGTTATTATTATTATTAGATTCCTGTGACTAAATCATGAATATGAATCATTTTCCACAAAATTATTTTCTAAAGGAACACGAGGTCTTTTTGCATGATGCGTACATTCACAAACCTCGGCTATGTGCTGTGAATGTACTCACCTAATTGTACTTGCAGGGGTTGAGTGCCTTCTGTGTGCCTTCTGCTGTAAGCATCATAACTAGCAGTAAGTTCACTGATATGTGAACCTTGTACACAATTTCTATTGTAGTCAAGATCACCTATGACACTATCATCACAAAATAATTGCAGTTACTCATTTTATTCATGATTATTAAGTGGTGGTGTGGCCCTGACTTGTACATCTGTACTGTGAGCTCCAGCTGCATGCACCAGCCTTTGTTGCTCTGGCAGTACTGAGGTACTCTCAGTCAGGAAGGATGCAGCCATTTTTGTTTTTTTTCCAAATGGTATCTGCTTACTGGAGTCCTGAAGAACAGGATGTGAGCCCGTGTGCCCCGCAGGAGTTTCGAATCTTACGCTATTCAAACAAACGTCACTGGGGGCTTGGTGGCTGAGTGAACAGCGCTTGGGGTTCGTAGTCCTAAGGGTTTGAGCCCTGGCAGAGGCGGAAACAAATGAGCAGAGTTTCTTTCACCTTGATGAGCCTGTTCACCTAGCAGTAAATAGGTACCTGGGAGTTAAGACAGCTGCTACGAACTGTTTCCTGGGGATGTGTGAAAATTAGGATTAAAGACTTGCCTGAAATGCAATGCATGCTAGTGGCTGTACAAGAATGTAAGAACTCTTGTATATACTGTATAAATAAAATAAAATAAAAATAAAATGTAGGGTGGCACCCCCTCCATTTCCCATGATACCACAGGTAGCGCAGTACAGTGGTTAAGACGCCATAACTCATCTCAGTTAACATCACAATATCAAGCCCAGCTCGAAGTCAAGCGAATTGAGCTTGCAAGTTGCATCCACAGACTCGGGGCTTCCAGACTTCGACTTATCAGGGCAGTTTTTGGTTGTTATTGTCCTTAGATTTGGTATCATTTCCATTGGATGCCAAACCACTAACTATTTAACCCTAAATAGTAGCCCAGTCATGATGGAAAATTAAAATACATTAATAAGTCAGTGTCATTATTCAAATCATTATCTTTATTAATGAAATAATTAATTCCATGCAATGTGTTTAATCAGGATTTGATTGTCAATATACATTTCAAATTAATAACAGTACAGTACTATAATAATAATCTTCTGTGGATAAAACATTACTGACTATTTTATTGGATTAAACTAGAAAGATAATTACAAACTAGTGCCCCACCAAACAACATATTATCTCAAAAATCAAGTCGCTTTATAAAATCCTATTCACAGGGAGTTGGTAGCAGTGGTCAGCGAATGTAGATGTTAAATCCAACCCCAATTAAATATTTAGTAGTTCCAGGAAGGAACTTTTACTTCAATAAGTCCATATAACTGCCTCTTTCATCATAACAGCTAAGACAATTTTGTTTAGCTCATTTAACCAATCTTATAAACAGGATTAATTTAGCATTTGTTTTATAATTATTATAAATAATATTATTATTATTAGTTTATGGTACTCTGGAAGGAATAGATTTTTATACTACCAGCATTGCTTTAGTCTTTTTGAACTCGCATTTATTTCCTTTGGAATAGAGGTGAATATTTCCTACACTGGAAGCGGTGGAAAGGGCAGAACCAGAGAAACCTGTAACACGCCTGTAGCCAAACCCTGCCCAGAGAAAAGACAATGCAGGAAAAGTTCAGGTTTCCCTGCACAACTGCTCAACCAGCAAGCAAGTCACCTGGGGCTAATGCAACCCCAGATGGCAATGACGATGCAGGCAGAGCAAAACTGCCCAAGGGAGACAAAGAGATGCTGACCGTGAGTCCCAAACAAGGCCCTGTCAATTCCTAACCTAGGACAGAACCAACTGGGACTTCCCCTAGTTCACCAGGAACCCAAACCTGGCAAGCTGAGAAAGATCCAGATTTCTGTTCTACTGACACACATGAACTGACTGGGTCCCACGTCAACCAATCATTTTAGTAAGCAAACACATGAACCCCTAACAGATGTAGTTGGGCCAAAATGACTTGCACCAGCCTGGTAAACATAAAGGGGAGGGGGGGGGGGGGGCACAGATTCAAGCCAAAGGGAAGACCCCTGAAACAGTGAACCTTATGTCCCAGAACAAAACCTGGCTAGTCCCTAAACCTGGGATGTATTGGGACATGCCAATAAGCATCCTGAAAGTCCAGAGACACTATCCAAGCTCCAGGTTGTGATAGTAAGGAAACTTTACTTATATATTTATTTATATATACAATACAAGAGTTCTTACATTCTTGTACAGCCACTAGTATGCATATCGTTTTGGGCACAGGTTGGGGCCCAACTTGGGTTGGAACTTGGGCCCAAGTGTTCATGTGGAAAGTCAGACAGGAAAATGAAGCAGTTCAGACCCGAGAGTGAGGATGTACTGTAAGTCTGCCGAATCCCTCTTCAGGACCAGAACAAGTGGAACACACAATGAAGTGACAAAGCCATCTCGACCATGTCCCCAAGTTCAACCAACCTGCATTGACCAAATGTAGTACAGGGAAAAGAGGACTGACCCAAAAAGCCCAACTCCAAATACAAAAAAGGAATTGACCAGCTCCACCGAAGGCCATTGAAAATGACCTATGAATCACAGGACCAGGAGCTGGCAAAATGAGTCAGATGCTTCCCCATGGCAGCATCAAAGAAGTAAATCGCAAAAGGGGCTAGCATGAACCCAAAGCAGAACAATCCTTCCGTGGTGCATGATTTGCAACATCAAGCAAAAAAGGAAATCTCCTCAGAACCATTCTGCCTCCAAAAGGGGGCAGAACCCTAAGAAAACAATCGATCAATGGGGCTGTAAGAAAAGCAGCCATGGAAACAACCTGTGCAACACCATCCTTAGGAAAGAGAAGAGAAAAGGGGGAGGTGGCCAAAAAGGTAAGAGACCAAGCTGATCTGAAGAACAGGCCAACATGGCCTGTTGACTCAAGGCAGAACAAATCAAATGCCACCACCACCTCCCAAAAAAAAGAGGGTTAACAGTAACAGCAACCCGTGACAGCTGACTAACACCCAGGTACCTATTTTACTGCTAGGTAACAGGGGCATAGGGTGAAAGAAACTCTGCCCATTGTTTCTCGCCGGAGCCTGGGATCGAACCCAGGACCACAGGATCACAAGTCCAGTGTGCTGTCTGCTCGGCCAACCGGCTCCCTTGGAAGGGAGCCGGTCGGAATGAGCGGGGAGGAATGAGACCATGTAGTCAGTCATTGCCCAACACCTGAGACAGGAAGGTGTCCTCCCCAAGAAGGCTTAACAACCACCATCCCAATGCCCCAAAATCCTTGTGGGACCAGAGGGCTCAACTGTCTCTGCCATCAACATGCATGGGACCACCTCCGATAAAGGCCGAACCACACCCCGAGCTAAACCTAGACTCGACTCCGAAACCCTCAGATGCCACGGAGCCCAAACTGTGGGAAAGATGGACAAGATCAGAAGCAAGAACCACACCTGCAGGGGAAGGAAGAGAAAGTGTGGACTTAGTCCAGGCGGGAGTCACCAACACCTCCAATTTTAAGTCCCTAAACACCATAGAGGCCAACTCTGGGGCATCCAGTGGATTAATATGTTGCAAACACCTAACTCAAGTAAACCTACCTGGTAAAGCAGTAGCAGGGAAGCAGAATCCATAAACACAGACCCAGTGAGAACATATCTCACAGGAGTTAGTATCATAGGCATCACCAACCCAGCAAGCAGCATGGCAGGGAAAGAATGATCATTGTCTGATAGCAAAGACAACGAGTACCCATCAAACTCGAGCGAGGGGGTGCTTAAGGGACCAATCCATAACAGACTATCTTGCAAATTTGGGACCTGGCCAGTATTTTCCATGTACTGTAAATATTATTTGATACCTCTTTCATCGCCTTTCTTGTTAGTATATTTTGAAACCTTTGAGGCGATGCCAATAGTTTCCGGAACAACCGTGGACATCTTCAAGAGGAAACTAGATTGTTTCCTCCAAGAAGTGCCTCAAGGAACCCCATCAAGCAGGTATCAAGCAGTTTAGATCCTCTCTGATTCATCTGCAGAGTTTTTAGGCAGATTTTTGTTCTTTATTTCTGCGAATCTTCTAGTTGTCTGTTAACCTTCACTTACTTTCTGGACTATCACTCAACACCCTGTCACCCCATGTGATAATGCGTCAAGCATCCTGTGAACTCTGGATAATCGAAATAAAGCCAGAGCCAAACAGAAAAATCATAACCCTCAAATACTCTAAACCTAACCAGACAAAATTCATCTATGTTCGTCAGCGATCTCCAGCAGAGCAGGAGCCAGATGCCCATCGCACCCTGTGAGCATACCAGGAACCCGTCAAAAACCAGCTAGGCATCGCCAGGCTAAGCTAGCATTAAGACACCAATTTCCCACCCGAAGAACCAACCAGAAAATAGGAAAACAAACAAAATTTTTCTATATCCCTGCAACCTCAGACAGTAAAGGCACTAGACATCGGAAAGCATACAGTTTAAGAGGAATGCCAGACAGCAGTATCCACTACGGGCTAACCATAGCCTGTGCTACTTGGAACTTTTTGTTCCTAGTAGCTGAATCTAAGACAACAAGAACAGCAGTTATATATTGACCCATTGTCAATATATAACATTGTTTATATAACATTGTTAATGAGACAAATCCCACTGTTAGGCAACAGTCCCCAGATGGAGCAGGTATCCGGATATCCACTCATCATCAACGTTGAGCCAGAGTGAAGTAGGCATGAGAATTCGTGTCGAATAGGACAGGTATTGTTACATTAGATCTGGTAGCTTAATTTTCACTAGAAAACAGGACTTCAGTTGGAACTCGACAAAAAATACCTCATGGATACTGAGCATACCATTTTTGCCACAGTTGCATGTTTTTTGCATTTTATTTCAAATGTTATATTACTTCATGTAATGTAAGGGGGGTGACGGCCGAGTGGACAATGCTCAGGATTCGTAGTACCAAGGTTCTAGGTTCAATTCCCGGCGGAGGCAGAAATAAATGGGCAGACTTTCATTCACCCTGATGCCCCCTGTTCACCTAGCAGTAAATAGGTACCTGGGAGTTAGACAGCTGCTATGAGCTGCTTCCTGGGGGTGTGTAACAAAAGGACACCTGGTCGAGGACCGGGCCGCTGGGACGCTAAGCCCTGAAATCATCTCAAGATAACTTCAAGATTGTCCATAGTGCACATGTCCCCCTGGGTCACCCCTAAGTTTACACAAATTGTGCAGAAAATTTTAATTTCCTCATATATACATAGGCCAGAATCACAATCTTTATATTTTGGCAACTTAGATAAATGTTAATTTTGTAATATAGGCCTAGGCTACAGTAGTAAGGTTGTAAACTAATATGAAATGAGCTGTATAAAAAGTTGTTCAGGAAAGGACAAGCTGCCACATATATTAGTTAGTTCATATAGGTTTAGTTCAACTGCCCAACAACCTTTTTTCATTAACATTTTGTCTCTAAAATATAATTATCAATTATATGTTTGTTGACCAAATTGTATTTTTGCTTTTTTCTGCCATGCTTTCCCCTGCCGTTTCTCATTTTTTTTCTTATTTTTTCTCAGCACAATTTATAGCTTAATCTCAATTAGTATTAAGTTTTAGTCTTAGTGTTTTTCCTGCCCGAAACGCTTTGCGTAATAGTGGCTTTAGGCATTGTATGTACTAGCTCTATCTATAAATCCATCAACTTTTGTATCTCACCTTGTATGTATGTACTTTACCCGAATAAATATTTATATTTGTATATTCCAAGAGAAGAAAATGTTGTCAATTGAACTAAAGCATTTGGGCTATTCAAGAATTTGAAACATTCATCTGGCATAATAATATATGTATTAGTAAAGCCAAAGAGTCTATAAAAGCTTACCAGAGTATTATTAAACCATTCTGGATACAATTGATTTATTGACCCTCCTGCCAAAGCCAGCCCCGAGTGGGTCGTCTTGTGATGGTCACCAATCCAACTACTGGCCACACCCAGTGGCAGAGTAGGTGGATATCTCGGTGTGTAGTTAGTATACGAGGCACTGGATCACACGCAATAACTGGTTTTTACATCCGTCCGAAATTTACTGCCTAGGGTGCGCAGAGGCCAAATACGAGGCCGGTGGGGAAGGGGGCCCCTAATCCGAACACTTCCACGCAGCCTCCTGGTTCAAAACGGCGTCACACTCCTCCTTCAGCGCCTGCACGAGCCTTTTTCCCGTCTTGATTGGCTGTATTTGCACTTTATTGTAGGAGGAGAGGGGGTTTAAGAGGTGCGGGAAGGAGCCGTGACTCAGCGTGAGACTGTTGCTGTGATGCGCTGGTCGCTCCCTGATGCCGCCTCCTACTCTAACGTTTTCTCTAGTGTTCCCACTTTGAAAAAATAAATAAATAATTACTATTACGACTACTAATACTACTACTAATAATACTAATACTAATAATAATAATAATAATTAAAATAATAGTCCCCATTTGCCCTGAGGATGTTTTAAAGTTACATTTTAAAACCCAACAGGGTTTTGGCGCTTAGGGCTTCAGCGGGTAGGCGGTTCCACTAATAACATGCCCGTGTCTGAAGCTAGACACAAATACAACAAAATTATTAATGATGGTAACGGAGTTCATTTCATGTGGATTCAAGCACATGTTGGCCTCCGAAAGCATGATAGAGCTGATGAATTAGCCAAATAATCTGCCTTTAATGGAGAAAATAAGTATAACCTTGTATTGCCTATAAGCAGTCTGAGAGCAAAAGACACCAAGAACTTAAAATCTTGTAGATCAGAGGTAAAGTGAAATAAGCACCAGTAATTCCATCTATCATCATACTATCATGCAAAAAGAGCCACAAATCTATGGATCATTCAATAAAATCAGCAAACTCCTAGATGTTACTACTGTTCGGCTAGCAGACTTGGCTATAAGTATCTCTGGGAATTTTTATTATCTGCTGATGTAGACCTGACCAAATGTAAACTGTGTCAACAAAATTATTCGCACACTCTCCGTCACTATGTGATGGAGTGCGAAAGGATACGTGAATTCAGAGACAATTCAATAACAAAATGTTCAAGAGTAAAAGGCGAAAGATTTATGCGTTTTGAGGGGAAACCAGAGTTCAAATGTTCAAATATCTCATTCAAAATGATCTGCTACCAGAAATCTTAGCCAAATCCCCAGTTTGCTAACTGTAGATAGTAACTAAGTGATTGTAACCTATCCAACGCTCCCCACTGCATGGGGGAAGGTGTGCAGGACAAACATATTAATTGTGATACTAGCTCTCCACCAGAACTGAGAGTTATGAGCTACGAGGAAAGGCTATGGGCGCTGAACTTTACGTCCCTGGATACATATATACATCCATGTACACATATACACATTCATATCAATAATCTTTTTATACCACACGGGATTCAACAAGAGGCTCACAACAGTCTCTGTACAAGGCACTTTACATCTATGGTGAGTCACGCAGGTTACGGGACTAGCTATATAACCCTCACCTCCCTGGAATACAGAGAAATAAGTGGAGACATGATCATCACCTACAAATTTCTCAGATGAATTGACAGGGTGGACAAAGACAAACTATTTAGCATGGGTGGGAACACGAACAAGGGGACACAAGTGAAAACTTAGTACCCCAAAGGAGCCACAGAGACACTAGAAACTTTGTTTTCAGTGTCAGAGTAGTTAACAAATGGAATGCATTATACAGGCAGTGATGTGGTGGAGGCAGACTCCGTGCGCTGTTTCAAATGTATATTGTAGATCAATGGTGTTTTCATTGATAACAAGCTGAATTTCCAGAGTCACATACAAAATATAGCTAAAACAATCTAAAACAGTTGGCATTCGTTCTAAAATGATATATTATGTACCTCGCCCTGCCCTGGTAACGCTCTATTACTCTCTCATCTATCCTTATCTCAATTATGGTATCTGTGCTTAAGGTTCTTCTACCCAAAATCATCTACGTCCTCTAATTACTCAACACAAATCAACTATTAGAACAATAACGAACTCAAGCCGCAGACAGCAGTCAGCCCCCATACTTAAATTTTTTAATATGTTATATATTAAGTCATTGTACATCCCCAAGTGTAATCTATATTTACCTGAATTTACCTGAGGGCCAAAAAAATCGGGAGTCATCTCCCGTCACGCAGTGTGCAGTCGCACCTCCACAGATCTCCAATATCATCTATTGATACTGGTAATGGCTCAAAAGGGCCACCACTTACGGGCTATTCATGCCCGTGCCACCTTTTGGGTGGCTTAATCTTCATCAATCAATCTGAGGGCCAATAACACTAACATTCTCGACGAGGACAGGAAGCTGGCAGCTTGTCAAAGGTCCCTACATTTGCCCTGATGATTTTTTTCCAGTTGCATTTTAAACCCCAACAGTTTTGGCATTTACGGCTTCAGCGGGAAGGCGGTTCCATGGGTTTATAACCCTGTGGGGGAAAAACCATCTGTTCTCAGTCCTACATTGTGGCTTTTTGAGCTTGAAACCGTTGCTCCTCGTTTGTGTTACATCTGATCTTTTGCATAAATTGTCCGGATCAACATCCTCCTACATCAACATCCGGGGAACCGGTCGGCCGAGCGGACAGCACACTGGACTTGTGATCCTGTGGTCCCGGGTTTGATCTTGGGCGCCGGCGAGAAACAATGGGCAGAGTTTCCTTCACCCTATGCCCCTGTTACCTAGCAGTAAAACAGGTACCTGGGTGTTAGTCAGCTGTCACGGGCTGCTTCCTTGGGGTGGAGGCCTGGTCAAGGACCGGGCCGCGGGGCCACTAAAAGCCCCGAAATCATTTCAAGATAACCTCCAAATTGTTCAGTATTTTAAAAGTTTCAATGAGATCCGCCCTGTCATGCCTAGTTTGCAGTGTTGTTAGCCCTGTAAACTCTGAACTGTAATGATAATGCTGATCTTAAACACTTCCTAGAGAGTTTTAACAGAACCCATGGGCACCACGCTAGAAACAAATATCTATTTCATATTCCAAGAGTCCGAACCAAACTATCCTCTGCAAATCAAGGGACCCAAAATGTGGAATGACCTTCGATCCCTGTCACGACTGTATTGAATTTTGTAACTAGCTCATCAAGATTGTATGCAGGCGATGAGTCACAATAACGTGGCTGAAGTATATTGACCAGACCACACACTAGAAGGTGAAGGGACGACGACGTTTCGATCCGTCCTGGAACATTCTCAAGCAGATTGTGAGAATGGTCCAGGACGGACCGAAACGTCGTCGTCCCTTCACCTTTTAGTGTGTGGTCTGGTCAACATTAAGATTGTAATTTGCTTAGCTAAATGAATTGTGGGGTTCAGTCCCTGAACCCATTATGTACCTCTGTAACCACTTCCACTACCGCCCACAAGATGGGTATGGGGTGCATAATAAATGAACCAAACAGAAAACTATCACTAATGCCCCTCTCTCAACCAGTTTAAGAGATAAACTAAGTAAATTCAAATTCAAATCAGAGGCTGTAAGCCGACCATCGTTATTAGACAGGAGTATTGGTTTGTTATTTAAAATCTTCTTTGATCCCAATATTTGTGAAATTGTGCTCCATGTTTTCTTAATGTTGCCCTTTGTTTGGGTAAATTTATCTTCGTAGTATTTAGTTTTGGCTCTTCTAATTATTTTAGATAGCAATGACGAGTAATTCTTTGAAAGTTCTTTGGAGACGATTCCTAACCTATACTTCTTCTCAAGGTCATGTTTTTTATTAATGGATTTAAGTATTCCCTTTGTAAGCCAAGGATTGTTTAGCCTTTTAGTCACAACTAAAAGGCTAAACAATCCTTGGCTTATAACCTTCATTTATTCCAGTCCTTACCCCCCCTTGCTCTTAATATCACAGGGAATACTGAGCTAAATAAAGTCCATCTTTGGCTAACTGCCAACAAACTCACCCTCAACATTGACAAAACTTTCTATATTTTGTTTGACAATAAATCCTCAAATTAAATAACTCTTAGGATAAATAATACCCAAATTTGTAACAAAATAGATGGCAAATTCCTTGGCGTTCTCATTGACCACAAACTGAATTTCCAGGGACACATTCTTAATATATCAAAAAAAATTCAAAAACTGTTGGCATTCTTTCTAAGATCAGATATTATGTACCTCGCCCTGCCCTGGTGACGCTCTATTACTCTCTCATCTATCCTTATCTCAACTATGGTATTTGTGCTTGGTAACAACTATGGTATTTGTGCTTGGGGTTCTACTACCCAAAATCATTTACGTCCTCTAATTACTCAACACAAAGCTGCTATTAGGACAATATCCAACTTTGGCCCCAGACATCACGTACTCGGTACCCCTATTCAAATCTCTGAATATGTTAGATATTAAGTCACTGCACATCCTCTCATGTGTATCATATATATATATATATATATATATATATATATATATATATATATATATATATATAAACGCTGAACTGTAATGCCAATCCTGACCTTAAAAGCTTCATTGAAGGTTGTAACAGAACCCATGAGCACCACACCAGAAACAAATACCTTTTTGATATTCCAAGAGTACGACTTAATCAAACTAGAAATGTTCTACAAATCAAGGGGCCCAGAATGTGGAATGACCTTCCCAATCATGTTAAAGACTGTACCTCTCCCAACCAGTTTAAGATAAAAACTAAGCACTACCTAATTAACTTCCTGTAACCTACCTTTCCCCTATAATGTCAACCCACGTGTTATTTTTTTTTAAATAATGCTGTTTGTCGACCATACTGTATTTTTCCTGTTTTTCTTCTATGTTCCCTCCTTTTTTTATTTTTATATTTTCTCAACTCATTTTATACTTTAATCTCAATTAGTATTAAGTTTTAGTCTTTAGTGTTTTTCCTGCCCGAAACGCTTTGCGTAATAGTGGCTTTAGGCATTGTATGTACTAGCTCTATCTATAAGTTCATCAATATTTGTATCACCCCTTATATGTATGTACTTTACCTAAATAAACATTTGAATTTTCAATGGAAGGAACACTGATCCCTTTAAATATAATATTACCACCGGGCAGGATGGTATTTCAGTTAAGGAATTACGCCCAGTAAATCCTCCCCGGCCAGGATACGAACCCATGACATAGCGCTCGCGGAACGCCAGGCGAGTGTCTTACCACTACACCACAGAGTTCGTATCAAAGGATTGACTGGACGCCAATCCTTAAGTGTTTGCCCGAAACGCTGTGCGTATTAGTGGAGTTCAAGTATGTTTATTGAGACAAGAAAGAAATACATCTCAAAGGGATAGAGTAGCTTAGGCTATTTCTACCT